GGGTGTCGAACCCCGAACTCCAATGTCGGGATTCGACGCCTCTCTGCTCTCGGCCACCACGCCTCGTGTTTGTAGAACGAAGATCTTGAAAGCCATGGGTTCGAACCGCAGTGGCAGTGCCAGTAAAAATGTGTGCCTGCTGGGTTTCGATCGCACGATCCGGGCGTCGAATATGGACGCCTTTGCGCACTCGGCCACCAGGGATCACATTCTGCAGCTGGGGAGCGGAGCATCAAGTGTGTCCGGCTTGATCTGAATCCAGAAAAGACTTTAAAAATATTTGGAGGAGCGGAGAGTCGATGGCCAACCCTTTCCTCCCCACTGGTGCACCGTGAGATTGTTTGCCCATTTATGTGGCCTGTCCATTGGCGGCCTGCGTGGGTGGCTGTGTGACAGTGTGCCCCCGGCCGCGCGCCCACGGCGGGCTGCTCGGCTTGGGCTGGGCTGGCTCCGGCCGGACACTGATGGAGCGCGGCAGCGCGGCCGGTATTAGCGGCGGAAAGTTTGCCAACTCGCAAGGCTCGCAAGACGGCGGCGGGTTGGCCAGGGAACCCGGCCAGGGTGGCCACTCTGGCGGGCTGAGTGATGCACCTCTTTTTAAATTGTGGCGGGGGGAGGGGGGGCTGCACTGCGCAACCGCGCTGCGGTCTTGACGGTCTTGACGGACAAACAGCGGATCAACGGAGAGATTCCATTAATTTTTGCCCCTGAATGGGGCGTCTTTGAGGCCGAAAGGTTCCGCATGCCGCAGTGCGCTCGCGAAGGTCGCGGGGCACCGCACCGCGGGCCACACCCCGCCCCGCCCCGACGGCGGGAAAAAGTATCCCCGCGTGACGGCGCACATTCCGTGCTGCTGTCTGATAGGCTGATACAAGGTTGGGTTGCTGGGACGAGGAAACGCGTGGCCCGGCCGGAAAGCCGACGCAAGGAACAAGAAACACTCACGAAGCAGTCAAAGGATGTCAACGCGACGTCAAAATGACGCTTTTTCCGTCGAAATTTTGACTAAAATTAGTGAAATTGAGGTCAAATGATGTCACGGCGAGCGTTTCGTGTTCTTGGGGGAGCTCCGGACTCGGCCGGACTGGCCGACATGAAGGGTGCACTCGGTGCTTTGCGTTCCCTTCAGGTTTGTGTTCCGAATCGCAGTCAGAGGAATTGATTCGAGTTGATTCGTTACCTGGCGCGGCACACGGCAGTCCAAGCGTCGAGTTATTGAATTTCCCGGTGGAATTGCCCGAATGCCGCCATAGTTCCTTGCACCATTCACTCCTCTGCGGGGTGACAGCCAGTGGCGCGGCGGGGCGGAATGGAACCCGGAACCCGGAACCCGGGCCGGGGCTCCAAAGCGCGCCAAGCCGTGGCGCGGCCGCGGGCTGCGGGCAAGGCAAAGCAACCGCCGTGCCGCCCTGCCGCCGTGTGGCGTGCAGCTCCTTCTATTTCGGGGGAACGCGAGTTTTGAAGCCAAAGCAGCGAAAGGTTATGCCGCGCCGCCACCCCGACAAGGAGTTGCCAAAGTGCCTCGCTCTGCTCCGCCTGCCTTTTGCACCTGCCTTTTGCACCTGCCGTTTGCACCTGTCCTGTCCCTTTGGCAGGTGTCGTTACGGCGACGGCCCTCCACACGCGCGCGCGCCACGCTCGTGTGACATTCCATGCCCTGCTCGCCCTTACAGCTGTCTGTCCGAGGAACCACCCTGCGAGGCACGCCACTGCCTTTGCGGGACCTTCGCAACATTCACCCTGCCCTCGCCATGACCTTGCCATGACCTTCCCGCCGGCCCCTCCTGCCTCCACACTCCACCTGCCATTCCCACCGGACCTTCCTCACTTAGAATGAAAGAATCTTGATTCCATATTTCGGCTGAGGAATGCCCGAGGGGGTAACGACTGGTAAATTTCGTGTCAGCCGGATTACGGATTACCCCGGATTACCCCGCATTATCCCCAAATTACCTCCGGATTACAACCAAAATAATCCTGGATTACCCCGGATTACCCCGGATTACCTCCCAATATGCTGTCAGCCGGATTCCCGAAGTCGTTACCCCCTCGGGAATGCCGTATCACCCAAGTTCTGGTGAGAATTGTTAATTATATCGCCCTAATTAGGACGATAAAAGAATCCTCACCCAAAACTTTCGTGCTGGTTATGACTCTTCCATCCGCAGTGCCGCCTCCACCTGCCCTCCCTCCACGAGGCGCGGCCCGGCTCGGCGCGGCACGACTCGTCCCCCCGGCCATTTCGGCCATTTTGGCCGCCTCGCGAGATAACCGAGTCACGATGCCCGCAGCACGCGGTGTGCTCGGTGTGCTCGGTGTGCACGGTGTGGCTCGGCGGCGCGGACGCCACATGACTCCTCTCCAAACGACTCCTTGGAAAGTCCCCGCCCTGCCACGCCCTGCCACGCCCTGCCACGCCCTGCCTGGCTGCCACCCGATAAGAGCGCAGCGAGCATGTCCAGCGGCCGTGCCGTGCCGTGCCATTGTATCTCCAGCGCGGTCCCGCTGCGCGCCGCTGCGTCGAAGCGCCTGGCTGGAGAGGGCGGGCCGCCCGCGCCGCACGCGCGTGGAGCGGGTTTGCCTACCCTGCGCATCGCAGGCGCTCCGACCGGCAGGGCCGGGTGGGCCGCTCCACTGTTATTCAACGAATGTGACGTCACGTTCCTTTGAGCGTGACTTGTCACGTTTAAAGGAACGTGACAGTTTTCACATTCAAAGGAACGTGACGTCACGTTCGTTGAATAACAGTGTCGTCGCTGCATTTTGGGCTCCGCTTCCCCGCTTCGATCTGAAGTTGTGGATTTCGAGGAAGGCTCGGCGATCAAGACGGCCGCGGTGGGAGCGGGCGCGAAGGGACCCGCCACTTGTGTCCACACGGCGCGCGCGCCTGGCGGGCCTGGTGGGCCTAGCAGTACCTTTGTGCCGACCGGCCCGGGACAGCGCCGCCCCGCGACTCCAACACTGTTGTCTTTGCCTCTGCTGCCCTCCTTCCCCTCCTCCTCCTGCTTCTTCTTCCCCTCCTCGGCGCGCCGCTTACTGGGTCGCAAGCGGCGGATGGAAAGTCCTCGCCGGGCTTATCCCTATCCCGGCAGCCCCAATAAAGTGGCAGCCGTCTGCGGCAAGGCGCGCAAGGCGGCATCGGCGGGGAGGCTGCACCCTGCATCATGCCTGCATCCCCCGAGGCAGAAGCCGCTGCGCCGCGCGTCCGCCAGATTATTGGCACTGCCGTGGGGAGATAAAGTCAACTCCCCACCCCCCTTTCCCCACAAACCAACGCAGGTGGAGACGGCGCTCGGACCGCCAAACCATGAACCCCGTTTCTCCAGAATGTCTGTTGTTCCGTGTGTTCGAAATAGGTTGCCGTCGAAACGGCGCGGTCCGTTGCGCGAGGCGGGCGAGGCGCGGCGAGGCCGTGGACGTGCACGTGCCCGTCGAGGGCGTATTCGTGACCCACGGCTCCCATTTATAGCCGTCATAGCGAGGCGAGCGAGGCGGGCGCGGCGGCAGCAGTGTCGCCGGACAGGGTTGCGTTTGAAGGACGGTCGCCGCGTGATAGGGCGGGGCGAGGATGGACGCGCGCATCGACGGGGACCTCGACGGGGACCCACTGCGTGGCACGGCATGGACATCACGGAGAGGCCGCGGCGCTACGGCCCTCGGGCCAACCCCAACCCCTGCCCCACGTGGGGCCCGGGCTGCAAACGTCCACAGCGTGACGAGCGGGGCCCGCCGAGCCTCGCGCCGGGCCGTCGCCGCGGCGACCATCATGTGCATGGCCGGCAACACGCGGCACGGCAGACAGGCCGGTAAGGGCCGCTCGGAATCAGGCAGCAGGGGCTCCAATCATCCGAACGGCCAGACTGTGGTACAGAGAGCGAAGCGGGGCGGGGCGGGCCGTCGCCGTGTCGACCCTATCAGGCATTCCAGTCAGGACCCTCCCAGGTCCCCGCAGTCCCAGGTTCCCCGCGGGCCGCCATGGATCTTCCCGCCTCGCGGATTAGCGACTGCCGTACCCGCGACCCGCGGCCTGTGGCAGTGTCTGTGCCGCGGGCCCTATCCTCCAGGGCCTCCGGGGCAAGAACGCGCGGCGGCGGGGAGGGGGAGGGGCGCTATCAGCATCAGCCCGGACTGCCGGTCTTTACCGGCCCGTCGCGCCGGAGGGGAGCACTGTGGGAAAAAATCACGGTAAATCCTGTAGTGATTAGTACAGCTGTCACTGTAGTTCAGAGTACAGGATTTACTGTACTTTTTTAACAGGATCTACTGTACTTTGTACGGGATTTACTGTACCACAGGAGTGGAGTACGGAATATCCTGTACCAGGTACAGTAGATACTGTAGCCAGGCACGGTAAATCCTGTGTTCTGAACTACAGTGAATCCCGGCAAAAAAATTAACGGGATTCACTGTGGTTTTTTCGCACAGTGAGGGGGGGGGGCACGCCGGACATTGCCTGCAGCAATTCCAGCCCTTCCAGCACGTGGAGGCGCTAGCGGTGTGCCAGTGCAGGCCCTCGACACTCGTCCTCCCATTTCCTTCGGCCGCCACAGCGCGCGCGCTCTTTTAGTTTTTTCTGCTCCATTTTTCCGCTGCTTGTCACCAGTGCCACTACTTCTTGCTTTACACAGGTGCGCCCCCCTCCCCCCTCCCCTGCCCCCTTCCCGCCGTTCCCTTCGTCCGCCGGCCGGCCGGGGCATGCGCGCTGTGGCCGTGCGCCGACGTGTGCCACCGTGTGCACAGTTGCGCCCGCGACTCCGCGACTCCGCGCGCGGCCCTCGACCACCTCGACGTGCGCCGTCAGGCCGTGCCGTCAGGCCGTCGGCGTGCCCCTCAGGTGGGGGGCGCCGGTGAACAGGTGAACGGGGCGCGCTGAGATAGGCCGCCGACCATCGGCGCCATCGGCAGTCTCACCTCACGCCCTTCGCATAAACTGGCCGCGTGCGTGCACTGGCCCCCACCCACCCCCACCCCCAGTGCTGCCGCCGAGAGCGTGACGGCGTGCATGGCGACGGGGCCGGCGTGCACTCCACGCTGCAGTCGCTGACGAGGCGCACCGCCGGCGACACCCAGGACACCCAGGACGCCGCCGGGAAGGACACGGGGTTGGAGGTAACTTCTCGCCAGGGACGTGCCGCGCCGACGCCGCTTCCGGAGAGCTGTCGTTTCGTCGCTCCGTCTCCGTTGCACTCATGTATTGTCCGCGGGGGCGGCGAGAGAAACAGAGCAGCGAAACGACTCTCTGGAATGGCTCGACGGGCGTTTGTTTGGCCGCGCGGCACGGCCGGCACGCCACGCGTCTCGGCGCGGCCGGGTGCGCGCGGCGCAGTGTAGCGGAAGCACGGAGTCTGGCCGCACGCTGCACCGAGGCGATTCGCTGCGATTCGCTGCGGGTGGGAAACCCGAACACTCTTCGAGGGAAGCAAGAACGCCATGGCCGCGGCGCCGCGGTTTGTCTTTGCCCAAGCTGACGCCCAATGCCGCCGCGCCCTCAGCGAGGCCCTCAGCGAGGCCCTCAGCGAGGCCCTCAGCAGCCAACGAGCCGCCTAATGCCTCGAGCCTGGCGGGCAGGTTTTCCCGTTCGATCAATTTGTTCGCTCGGCTCGATGTATGAGGGAGGCTCGGCTCAGCGGAGACCACGGTGAAGACCGTCTCGCCGTCACCATCGCCATCCCCGTCACTCTAGAGAGGCCAGCGCCACCAGCGCGCCAGCGGGTCTGCACGTCCGGAACCAAGTCTCGTGGACACGCCTTTGCGGTTGCTGCCAAGCGAGTTTACGAAAAAAGAAACAATTAGGTTTTACCGTTTTTATTTCAAATTATTTTTTTTACGACCGCCATCGCCATTGACTGCACCGTTTAATGTTTCTGATAAGTCTTTGCAACACCTGCATTTAAACCACCTCCTGTTGTAGTGTTCAACATTCCACACGCCTGAAGACAAGTCCGTGCCTCAGGGATACGGGGAAGACCAGCTACGTCTGACGTATGACGACGTGTGACGACGTGTGACGACGCGTGACGCTCCGTGACGCTCCGCTCCGTGACGCTCCGTGACGGCGTCGTGGCGAAGCACGAAGTCCTGGCAGGCAGTGGCAGTGATAGCACCCCTCCTGCGGCTCGGCCGGCCAGGCCCGGAGGTCTTGATAACGTGTCGCAGAGTGTGGCGTTCTCCAAGCCGCGTGGGGAGGGGGACGAACGGGAACAGAATATTTCTTTGTAATTGTTGTTTTGAAAAAATAAACGATGGTGGCCTGTCAACCACAGGCGCTTACAGTTGAGAGATTTCTGCCTTTGATTTACAGTTCAGATAGGTGGGAAAAGACGGGACACGGGTCTTTATCACATATGGCTTGAGTCCAACCCAACTCGTAGCAAAGCGCGCGCGCTGCACTCACATACTCAACACGTCTAAAACATCAAGCATCAGCTCTGAACTGAAGCCTCATGAAAAACGATTGTACTGACCTCCGTGAAAATGGCCTCGGGATAGCTGACCACAAAGGCGCCTCCTAGCCCCGTGCCAGCTAGAGACTTTACGACCACTATGGGACCATGCTCACAGAACTGTGCCGGCGCCACTTTCTTAGGGTGCTCCCACACTGTTCACATCACATCATATCAATAATAATAGTCAAAGCCTTATATTTATTGCAATACGATCATGCAAGCAGCAGACATGTTGACCGGCACAGAGCAGGTTTAAAATGGTCCCGCGTCTTGTCTTTTTGACACTTCGGCAGGATCCAGATGGCCGTGCCCAGCGGACGAACCTAACCACAAAAGTGCGAAAGCAATAAAACAGCGACAGCAAACATTTGTGTTTGACTACATCTCAGGGGATCCTCTGTTCTTATCTTTCGCTGTCATCGTTTAGTGTCATTGTTTCATTCAAATCATGTCATGCGCTTAATATGACAACCTTTGGAAATGTGTAGCCTTCTGTACTTAGCATTGTTTTGCTCAGGCCGAAATTAGTGACTGTCAATGTTTTGAAAATGAGTGGAGTAAGGTTAGAGGTTCAGTGGTCTCCAGTTCACCCAGATAAGTTCATAACTTGGGGGACTGACATAAATCTTTACGAGGTTAAACTGACTAAAGATGCGCCAGCTTCAAGTAAGTCAATTAATTGCCTGACTCATTCAGTCAAAGTTACCGTTTCAATGCCACAATTGATTCCTTCAATCAGGGGACTTTGCCCTCTTGTCCTTTTATATGATTTTTGTATTATGTATAATTCGTTTCATTTTTTCCTGCAGGCATCAAAATCTCTGACACCACTTCAGCTCATCTTTTAGCCTCAAACTCAAACCTCCCTTATGTGAAGTGTGTGGACATTTACCCACACAATGAAAGCGATGTTTTGCTTGCAATTGGTCAAATAAATGGAAAAGTTGTTCTGAACACCTTTGGACAGACAGTTTTTGATTGCCTGGGATTAGCTGGGAAAGAGCTTGGTATGCCTTTAGATATCCACTAATATTGTCTTTCCATAGTGCATCATGATTTTTAAAATGTATTCTGTCAATTGCAGTGCCAAGACATGCTCGTCAGTGCAACACTGTGGCATGGAATCCAACAGATCCCAATTTGATAGCAGCAGGCCTTGAAAAGCACCGTACAGACCATTCTGTTCTTCTGTGGAACTTACAACGCTGTCCTCTCTCCAATGGTTTGTGTCAAATTGATTTTTGCATTTGAATGTGATCCACATTGTGAGTTTTAAAAACCATATTTGATCTTCTCAGGTCATTCGACTCACCATCATGCTTCATCATCTTCATCATCATCTTCTATGGAACCTTTGCGCCCTAGTGTGGAACTTGGTTTGTCAGAAACTGCTCACTCACTTGCCTGGCTTAGAGGTCAGCCTAAATGTTTAATGGTTGGGCTGAATGGCAAACACTTGAAGTTGTTTGATTTTAGAGGTAATTATACCCACCTTTTATATTTTTTTACATTTTTGTAAAATAAGTGGGTGTGCAATTGTATTTATTTTTATTTTCATTTCCCAGACACAGGAAGGGCTGTAAGTTCTACTCCTACCAAGGCAGTGTACGGGTTAGCTGTAGATCCACAGGCTGATCACCGTCTTGCTTCTTTTGTTGACAATCAAATTTATGTATGGGACACAAGAAATTTTGAAAAGCCAGTTTTATTTTTATCACAAAATAAACCTGTCTCTAAGGTATCATGGTGCCCCACAAGGTAAGCTGTTGTGTTCCTCCCAACCTCTTATTAGAGCATTGTGCATTGAAACAGTGCTTATCTTCTCCAATTTTTTCAGGAACAATCTATTAGGGACACTTCAGCGTGACAGTACATGCATTGGATTGTATGACATTCAACCAACAATGGTAGGAAATGATGAAGTAGAGCCATCTTTCTTGGAACGTGCTGTCCTACCGGGAGTGACGGGGGTAGCAGGAGGAGCACAAACTTCAACATCTGGGGCCATCACATCATTTTCTTGGCATCCCTCTCACGAAAATCGCCTTCTGAATATTAGTTTATCAGGTAAAAATATTTTCCTAGCAAAATATCTCCCTAACAATTGAAGAAAATTTTGATATTGATGTGTTCTTTGATGCTTTTTTTCAGGTAATTTGACAGATTATACAGTTTTTGAAAGAATCACTCTGAACTGGTCACCTAGTTCCCATATTGTTTGGACTCATGGCTGGAGAACCTTGAAAACTGTTTGTGATAAGGATCCTATATACAGTGATATAGACAGTGAAGCTATCCTAATCAAGAAAAGAGCATTGTCTGGCTATGGTTTGAGGGTAATGATCATAAAACCGCTATGAATCAATCTATTTTCTGAAAGATACATTATCTTTGTACCTCTTGAAATCACTGTTGTCTCATGTTTCAGTCTAACTTAAGTGAAAATGGAGAATTAGCTGAAAGCAAAGATTTGAAGCGCCTTTGGAGGTGGCTGTATCTCAGTTCGAATCTTTCTGATGAAGGTCTGGTTCCCAGTAACAATACCAGGCATCCTGGTGTAAGGTATGATTTCAATTCATAGTTATGTTTCTTAGTTCATAATTATATAATTTCTTTCAAGTGACAGTCTTTCAATCATTTTCTTTCCAGATCTGTCATTAAAAGATCTGATGGAAATCAAATGTCTGGTACAGAAACTTCCACAATGCATGGTCCATGGTCTGATATGAGTACTTGTCAGATAGCTGCAAGAGTGTATAGGTTAGTCAAAATATTTATTTCCTTATTTTAGTTCTTGCAAATTGCTTTCCTGACCCCATCATAATTCTTTATCTATTTTATTGCAGGAGTGATGAGAGGGAACAGGCACTACAGCTTTGTGGGTGGCATTTGGATCGAGACGGTTTTTTGGAACAGCTAGAATCTAGTGGCCATTATTCAAGAGCAGCTGCCATAGCTGTGTTTAATCTGAAATTACGTCAAGCTGTAGAAATTATTAGAAGAGGTGCCAACAACCCTCACACGTCATCTCCAGCTAATCTTAATATTGTAGCTGTCGCATTGTCTGGTAAAACCTCTTCTAAGGCACAATATAACAGCCTAATCCAAGAGTCACATGAATAATTAATAATTATTTCTTGCAGGCTTTTCCGATGACAAAACAAGCATGTGGAGACAGCAGTGTATTTCTGCAAAACAATACTTGACAGATCCTTATCTTCGTGTCATGTTTTCATTCCTCACCTCTGAAAGTGATACTTACGAGGAGGTTTTGGTAAGCAACTCTTGAACTATTTTTATTCGAATTTCTGAACAAATCTGGATTTGGTTCTACCTCAGCACTTTGAAGAAAGTAATTTTTTGGCATTTCACAGGAAGAGAAAGATGTAGCTGTAGAAGATAGGGTTGCATTTGCTTGTTGCTTTCTATCAGACCTGAACTTGTCTGAATACTTACGGAATTTGACTGCCAAATTGACAGAAGAAGGTGATCTGGGTGGAATCCTTCTAACAGGTTTGTTATCCAAACAATTTTAAACTTGTTATTTACTGAATTTTTCAAAGAAATGGAAATATGTTAATACAGTCTGGTACGTGCACTGTTTACTGGATGATTTGGATTCCTGTCTTTTTGTTCTCAGGTGCCACAATGGAAAGTATTGCCTTACTCCAACAATATTTGGACAGAACAGGGGACATTCAGAGCGTCAGTTTTATTGCAGCTAGGGCCTTCCCTCCTTCTCTACTAAAAGAAGACATTGTACAGGAATGGATTTCCAAGTAAGCATCTAAATTATAGCATTGTTTTCAGTTCCACATTTTAATTTGAAGAATTGTTACATCTTTGCCCTGGGCTCAAATTGGTTAACATGCATTTGCAATTTCTTTCCAGTTATCGTAATTTGCTGGACAGCTGGAAACTGTGGACTCAACGGGCTCACTTTGATATAGCATTAAGTGGCAGAAATGAATCAGAAAAGCCTCCACAGCAGGTATTTGTTTCCTGCAACTTTTGTTCTAAAAGTGTTTCTGCCTTCATGCAAGGTCGTGGGAGGGGACTCTTTGCCAGAGTGCCAAACAAGTCGAAGGTGTGTAAGGTGGGCTGCTTCATTTCATCTCCATTTCTCACTTCATAGCGCTCATAAATTCTCATTTTGAGGAGTTTTCATACTCAACAATACCTCCATCACACTTTGACCCACAGATAACCTCATGTCCAAACTGCCGCAAACCACTTCCTCGCTGTTCCATTTGCCTTTTGAATATGGGCTCAGCATCAGGGGCTTACAGCGTGAAGGCAGGAAGTACTATGAACCGAACTATTGACCCCGGGTCCAATTCAGATAAATTAGCAGAATTTGCAAGTTGGTTCACCTGGTGTCAGTCTTGTCGTCATGGAGGTCATGCCTCTCATATAATGCATTGGTTCAGGTAATGAGTGCAAACTTTTTCCTTATTTCATGTGAGGCTGTTCCTTCAATAATGGGTTCCTTTTTGCTTTGTTTTTTCCAGTGACCATTTGGAGTGTCCGGTGACAGCATGTAATTGTCGGTGTATGTCCCTTGACTTTGCAGCCAAAGTGATATCTGTACCTGCATTGTAGGATTAAAAAGTGAGCTTTCATGCTATTGTTTGTACGGTAGGCAGAATTTATTGTTGTTATTTTTTTTATAATATCAAACCAATTGAGTGAAGGAAGTAAACTACTACTTGCTTAGTCTACATATCATTTGTCATGTTTATTAACCCTCTCAAAGTTGCACAATGATGAAAGGCAACAGTCCTTCAAGATGCACTCAAGACTTCCCTAAGCCTCGTCTTGCTTGTGTAAAATTACTAAGTACCTACCAACAACAACCGTTATGTCTAAAAAAAATACAAAGGTCTCAAAAATAGTTCATTAATTTGCAAAATAAGCCTTGAAACAACAGAACTTACACATACATAAAAAAAATGTTTTCAAAGTTCACTGATTACTGGGAATGGACAAAAAGGAATTCATGGTTATCACACAGAGGGTTTCAAACAAACTAGGGTGAAAAAGTACTAGATAATCACAAAATTCTTCAGAGTTCAGCAACAAAACTGAAAACAGTTTTCTCTCACAAACATATGTGGTATAAGTATATCTAAGAAAGTATCATTAGTTCTAAAAGGAGTCATACCAATTAATTAAAAACATCTTTAGTTAGGGAATATTCTTAATTTTTGTAGCATTGCGTACAAAATTTTATCTAAAAAAAATATTTTGTTCATTAAACTGAAGCATATAAGCGCTCATAAGCAATTAATCACAGATGATTCAATCAAAAGCATTCTCCACCTCTATAATCATAAAAAAAAAAAAAATACTGGCACATGAGTGGCATCCATTTCAAAAATAACATTAAAAATTACCCTGATAAAAAAAAAGAGGAAACCAGGGCCTGAAATACTGAAGAACCTGTTGGATTGAGCAAATCGACAGAAGTTGAGCTTCACCATATGTAGAGTTATTTGTTGCTTTGCATAGTGCTTCTAGTTAACATCATAATTAATTTTGTTTTTTCTGTTGTCTTTGAATCTTGGCTGATGGGTCTTCATTTTGTTCAAGACAATTCCAACGCACAACTGACAGCTTAGGACTACTAGTTGCTTTTCTTCTTGTCCGACACAGGTTTACTGGGATAGATTATGAATAGTGAGAGCTGAGTTACAGATAACAAGAGGCCTACAAGATTTTGAATCTGAAAGGAAAAATAAGATAAAAATTAGTACAGTATAATTCAAGGGAGGTTTTTTTTTTTGTTTTTTTTTTATGTTTGTCTTACCTGAATGAAAGCATCACTCAGGATTATGCCATACAATAACCACATGAATGCAGAAATAGTACCCATGAATATCATGGGGAAGGGCAAGCATTCAGTGCTTTGAGTCCGCATCACCTCAGCCTGCAAGTTGCATAGTGTCATAATATTTCCCAATAAAGATAAGAGATGCCTCAATGCTTTAAATTGTCACTTACTAGTTGAAACAGAGGTGAGGCAATGAGAAGGAACATCAAAACTGTGGTAATAATGCCGAAACGAAACAGCACCTTTTCTGGATCTTCCATGTGCACATAGAACAAAATGGATCCAAAGAAAATGATAGCCTTGCCGATTGTCTTCACAACTGAAGCCTTGAGGGGTAAAAAATCCAAAGTAAATAACAAAATAAAGGGGTTAAAAGACAATTTGAAACACTTCCTTTTTTAAAATGTATACCTTGTCTTCTGAATAGATGTAGTAGCAGGACAAATAAGCCAAGTTCAGAACAGTACCCATGAAGTTGACAGGGTACATTCCTGGATCTTTGATCAAATCAGCATATTTAAAGAATAAAATGCACCTAAAATAAAGGATACATGTCTTAACTAAACCAAAACTAAGCAAAATGGAACAAAATTTTATCTAGATTACTGATAACTTACAAGCCGATACCGCCGACAAATGGCTCAAGTTGAACATTTCTTGTGTTGCCCTTCTTTATTATATCTTTACAGACAAATCTACAAGAGGAACAAATTTGAGAATATTAATTTACTATAGTAACACTTAAGATTCAAAACTGCCTTGTTAACAAACTCACACTCCAGAAAAGAATTGTCCTACAGTAACAATGCTTGCGGTAGCTCCGACAATTCCTTTATAATCTTCTAGCGGCATTGTGAGTCTATAAGCAAACGAAACAGGTACAACAAGTTTGCATCATACATGGCAATGAACAAAATAAGTTAGAGTTTAGTCTATTGAGTTTTCGGCAGTTCTAATAAGCCTGCTTCAACTGAAGGTGTTTATCCACTGTTCACCAAAATTTATCAGGCTCAACACATCACCTACCAAACTTTGTTTCGAATTTCCCACAATTTTCAAGGAAGCAAGAGAAATGGGACTTCAAAATTTTCAAGGCCTCAGAAAGTACAGAACCCATGAACAATAGAGATCATCAGAAAGTTACAGCCAAAATGATAAAAGCATCAACTGTATGCCTACCTGTATCACCAACGGTTCCTTAAAATATTTGAGGTTGATGTTGATGTTGCGCCAGTACAGTGCAAGAATAAGAATGGCCACGCAACTACACCTAAAACCCGACACACTATCTCTTTCGCACACAAAGATACACACGTAGATAATGCCAAAATAGCCTTGACGGGCGATTTAAGTAACCTTCAACCTCCGAGAAACCAGACGACGTGCAGGTGCAGACGACAGTAGTATGAGAAATTAACCTTCAAGGGGAAGGACATGAAAAAGATACGGTTCCTTACTTTCCAGTTCCAGCACTGCACATCTAGGAGGCGGTAGGCGGTTCATCTTGAGAAGTAGCCGGTGGCGTGCCGAATTTATTCTTCCATAGCACATTTCGGACGAAAATGGCTTCAAATTGGGCCAAAAGTGCGGAAGAGCAGGAAAAGCTGGTCAAGAAGGTAAGTAACTTCTTACCATTCGATCTATTTTAGTTGGAATATAGACACCTACGAATTGTGGTTGAGGTTATGTGACCAGGCGACATCCTTACGTCCTGCGTTGTTTTTCCGTTTTCTGGTACCTAGTCCGCTTGTGTTTTATATTTTTTCCGTTTTTTTGTGTGTTGCAGCTTAGCACAACAGATATAACTCCACCGAACGATTCCGAGGCCAGCCGAAAGCCACAGCCCGCAGGCACAGGGGATACCCAAACTGACGATGAAGCCGTGACACCTGCCGAGCGGTCTTTGCTCCAAAAAATTATCCGTAAAGGCCTTGTTGAAAACAAAAATGACATCGAAATTCAACGAAAGGACCCGACTTCGCCCCTCTACTCCGTCAAGAGCTTTGAAGCCTTGCACCTGTAAGTGATGCAACTACACGTTAAGTTACTGAAGCAAGGAGTTTTAGTCCATGTGGTGACGCAAATTCTTTGACACTAACTCAAGCCATTTTGTTGTGATGAAATTTAAATGTGCTAAGTGTATTGTGCATAGTTTTCAAAGTAATGGAATAAAAAGAAATGTGTGTGTATCATATCTATCATTGTCTTGTGTACAGGAAACCGAACTTGCTGAAGGGAGTTTTCACTATGGGCTTCAATGCCCCTTCTAAAATTCAGGAGTCTGCCCTACCTCTGCTTCTAGCGGATCCGTAAGCAATCATTTCTGCTTCATGTGTATGTAACAATTGTTTTCGTCCTTTGTTGTCATAAATTTTTCTCTTTTTTTTATCAGCCCTCAGAACATGATTGCTCAGTCTCAATCAGGTACAGGCAAAACAGCTGCGTTTGTTCTTGCAATGTTAAGTCGTGTTGACCCCAGCAAGAACTATACTCAGGCATTATGTTTGTCTCCAACTTACGAGCTAGCCATTCAGACAGGAGAGGTTGCTGCCAAGATGGCACAATTTTGTCCTGAAATTAAGATTCGGTATGCTGTTCGAGGAGAGGAAGGTAAGTACTCATACTTTTATTGGAAATGAATACCATTTTTTCTACAGTTTGTTGACCCTTCCTTTTCTGTCTCAGTTCCCAGAGGGACAAAACTCACAGAGCACATCATTATTGGAACTCCTGGAAAGGTGGTTGATTGGGCCATAAAATTCCGCTTTTTTGACTTGAGCAAGATCTCTGTGTTTGTGCTGGATGAGGCTGATGTGATGATAGCAACTCAAGGTCATCAAGATCAGAGTTTCCGAATTCACAAGTAAGTTTTTGCCTCAGCAACTTACTGTTTTCATTTATAAAAATAAATTTTGAAAAGAACTTTTCTTATAGTTTTGTGTAATTTATTTTACAGAGCGCTCTCCAGATCATGCCAAATGATGTTCTTCTCTGCTACTTATGAGCATGATGTGATGGAGTTTGCTGAAGCAATTGTAAACAATCCAGTAGTCATAAGATTAAAGCGTGAGGAGGAAAGTTTGGATAATATTAAACAGTACTATGTCAAATGCCGAAATCAGGACGACAAGTACTTAGCCATTTCAAACATTTATGGAGTAGTAACAATAGGCCAGGCTATGATTTTCTGCCATGTAAGTTCTGGACATGCATTAAGTAATTTTTTAACATCCCCCCTCTGCCTTTTATTAATTTTATTCATTATTTTCAGACCAGGAAAACTGCTCAATGGCTTGTGGAGAAAATGACAAAAGATGGTCATGCAGTTGCCCTGCTTTCTGGGGACCTCACAGTAGAGCAGAGAATAGCCGTGTTGGATAGATTTAGAGAAGGCAAAGAAAAAGTTCTTATCACTACAAATGTTCTTTCAAGAGGTAATAGCAGAAGAGTGTGCCATAGTGTACCATTTGTTTTTCATTCAATGTGGTTTAATATTTGTATTATTTGCTATTAGGTATTGATGTTGAACAAGTTACTATTGTTGTCAACTTTGATCTACCTATTGACCTCAATCGAAAAGCCGATTGTGAAACCTACCTCCACAGAATTGGGCGCACTGGTCGGTTTGGCAAAGCTGGTCTAGCCATAAACTTAATTGATAACTCTGAAAGTATGACCGTTCTTAAGCAAATTGAAGATCACTTTGGTAAGGATGAAGTTAATTTTCTGTCACTAGGTCTTGTCTGTTTTTTAATCAGTTCATTTATATTGTTATTGCTTTGTGTTTAATAGGGAAACCAATTCACCTTCTGGATGCAGCTGATGTCGACGAGATTGAAAAGTTGGCTTCTGCTGATTAATGCAACTGAAAGACATTGTAACGCTACATTTTCCTGATTTTGTGTTTTTATTTATTTGGACTATTATTTCTATGTCAATTATTATTGGTCATGTCTGGAGGGAATTATTGTGAGCTCAATTTTTGTCTGTCAGTTATCTTTTATGTCTCAGTTTTCAAATCCAGTGGTATGCCTTCTTTGTTGCTTTTTGTTTCTGTAATTGTTTTGCTTAATTGTGACCACACATACTTCTTGTTTCATCGTAAAAAGTTATCATCTTTTCTAGACTTTACTGTCATTTTGAGGCAGGTTTAAGATATTTTTTTGCCTTTTTGACTGCATGCAAGTTCAAATTATGACTTTCACTGTTAAAAGAGTGATCACCTAGATCAATTCTATGTCACTAATTTCAGTATCCCCCATCAGAGCCTAAGGATGCATTTGTTCAGAGTCTGCATTCAAACATGTTATATATGTAAATGGTTTCCTGCAGTTTATATATTTTTTGTATAAAGCATTTCTAAACAACAAATGAGTCCTTTCTTTAACTCCTCCCTCCTGGGAACTTGTCGGGTAGAACACATGTCTATGCTCACTTTACCATAATCTGGAGTGTGTGCAAGTCTTGGCCGAAGTTCAGGACAGAAATCGCTTAGACTTCATATGTCAGATTTCACTATTCACATGGTGGGTTGGAAGGTCAAAATTTAGGTCTCAGATTTTTACCTGCACTGTGAAAGGTGTTCAAAATTTGAAGAAATGACACAATTCGGGCGTGTTTCGAGCAGTTTCAGAGGAGTGGCCTGTACTGTAGACATTGGCAGCAATTTAATTAATAATGAGTCACTCCCATTTTCGCTTTGCTCACACAGGGAAGTCCCCCCTCGGTTGTAACGCCGCTGATTTACATCGTGAGAATTTGGAAATGAGAGCAAATTATCTCATCAGTTCCGTTGTACAAGAAATGACACGAACAGATCTTTGGGGCAGCCGTCGGGCGTGCGGGTCGCGGCTCGGCTGCCGCGTCAGCAAAACACCGCGCCGTGCCGCCGTGCACCTCGGCGTGTTTGTAAACACGCCGCGGCATCTCCCCGCCGTGCGTGCCGCGTGCCGCGTGACAAGTGGCGGAGAGCGGGCGTGCTGGCCCGCCCCCATCCCTCCGCCCCCGCCCCTTGCCCAACACCGCGGCATGCGTGCCGAGCTGAGCCTCCCCGTCGTCCGGCCGTCCGGTGCCGTCCGGCCCGGCCGAGCCCCGCGGTGTAGGTGCGCGATAGAGCGATGACTTCCCTCCGCGGGGGATGGGACGCTTGACGTTTGCCGCTTGCACTTCCAGTAGGCTCAGTCCGACAGTCGTTTTCGTTTGCGCTGCCTTGCTTGCACCTTCACTGGCACCCCCTGAGTGCGACAGAGACAGCGCGACGAAAACGACTCTCGGAATGAGTCTGCAGCGAGCGCGCCGATAACGCGTCGCCGCGGTGACGCGACGCGAAGCGACGGCGGCCCGCAGAAGCCACCCCGCCGCGCCAGCCGTGCCGTGCACCACGCCGAGCTTCCCTCTTCCTGCTGCGATACACTGCGATAGTCCGGAGGGCCGTCGCCGCACCCCCTGCTCCGCGTGTAGACGGTGAGGTCGCCCCGAACGCCGCCACTCGCTCTAAGACTTTAAGATGGTGAAGGCGAGCGCGTCCACCGGAGCCAAGAGCAAGGCGGGCGGAACGAACGCGCTGCGGATCGACATGAAGAGGAAGCTGCCGCTGCCACCGCCCTTCGTCGTGAGCCGCGGCTACACTCCGGACTACCCCTGGCTGGGCCAGGACCATCCCGCACCCAAGTCGTCCAGGCCCCGCCTCCTCATGCAGCAGTCGTGCTCCGGCGCGGCCAAGGCGGCCGTGTGCGTGGTCTCCGCCGTGCTGGGCGTCGCGCTCATCCTGTACGCCGGCAACGCCATCATCCGCGCCAACGCGGAGCGCGCCGCCCTGCACGACGCCCACGCGGCCCACGGCCCAGGTCTCCATCCGCAGCACGCCGCGCTGGTGCAGGGTGAGTGTGAAAGGGCGATCTGGCGGCTGGCGGTCCAGTGCAAAAGATGCCATTTTCGCCACGCTCGTTATTTCTCCTTTGGGAAGAGCCCATTTTGATTCTTTCCCCTTCTCGTTCTTCCGCTCAGAGGATCCCGCTGGTCAGGACGTCGTCGGCGCCCTTGTCTCCAGCAAGGACGGCCAGCACTACGGCCCTGACCCCGAAGAGCACCTGGCTGACGACCCCGTCGGCCTGCGGATGGTGGACCCGGTCCTGCCCGAGAACGACGTCCGCGTCGAGGACGGCTCCGTCGGCCCCGCCGCTGGAGAAGATGGCTTCGCGCAGCAGGTGTCCGAGGCCATGGCCCAGGACGGCGAAGCGAGCCCGGGCGCAATCCAAGCCACCAAGCACCTCCTGCTCTGGATGAGGATGGCCAACTTGGTGGGCTTGCAGAGGGAGATGGAGCAGCGCGTCCAAGTGACGGAGGCGCTGCAGGGCGCCTACGACAAGCTGCAGGCCGCGGAGGCCGCCATGGCCGACGGCGACGGTGAGTGAACAGCATACAGTGGCGCACGACTGGCACCTTGTCTGTTAGCTTCCAGTTCAAAACTGAGGCAGCAATTTTTTGTCCGCAGATGATTTGGTGGTGTCCGAACTAGGCCCGACTCCGAACGAGCCGACTTCCAGCCTGGAGGTGGACGACGCGCAGACCCAAGTGGAGGACCAGCCGGAGGACGCGCCCCGCGACGAGCACGGGGATCTGCAGGTGCAGGACACCGTCGACGAGGACGCCCGCCTCCTGATGCAGTGGATGGCGCAGGCGCAGCCCACGGAACAGGAGCTGCAGGAGGAGCCCCACCAGGACCAGGACACCGTCGACGAGGACGCCCGCCTGCTGGCCCAGTGGATGAGGCAGGCGTCGGAGCAGGGCGTCGAACAGGACGCGCAGCAAGACGGCCAGCAGGAGGCTCTTCCCCAGGCTGACCCGCAAGGCGACGAGCAGGGCAACCAGACGAGCGAACAGCAAGACAAAGACAACCAGCAGGTCGACGACAAGGTCGTGCATCAGATCCTGCTCTGGCTAACGTCGAGCCCCCAGTCCTGGGACGTGGAGCAAGCCGTCCAGGAAGCGAAGCAGCCTGTCGCCGAGGCCGCCAACAACCCCGTCGTCCTGCCTCCGACCGGCCAAGCTAACGCCTCAGCCAAGCCCTCGGCGCAACCTCAGCCCCAAGAAGACCCTCAGCCAGAAGCGGCGACCACCGTGGTGCCTTGGGACCAGCTCAACGAGGACGACAAGCAGGACGCGCTGCTGCCCACACTGGCGGCCAGAGGGTTGGACCTGCACCAGGGAGAGGCAAACGCCCCTGTCGCCACAGCCGGCCCGGCCGGGCCTATGCTGGTTGACGGCGCCGACGCCTGGAGTGACAGCAGCATGGCGACGCAGGTCGAGTCCGACGTTCCAATGCGCGAGCCTCAGGGTGAGCTGCACGGCGCGCCCGAGGACGAGAAGCAGTTCGAGGCGCAGCAGGCCCAGCACTACCGCCACCTCGTGTCGCAGCGCTTCCCGCTCATGTACCACGTGCTGCACCTGAGGCGCAGCCAGCAAGACGCCCTGCAGCAGGAGCAGCGCGCCACCGCCTACCTGCGCCTCCTGGACCTGCACCTGCTGCAGCACCAGCAGGAGGCCGAGGCACGCCGCCAGCAGAGACAGCACCAGCAGGACGTGCTTCGCCTGCAGCGGGACGAGGCGCAGTGGGCGCAGCAGGGCCAGCAGGACCAGCAGGGCCAGCAGTCCTATCTCATAGGTGAGCTCGAAGGGCGATGGATCGACTTTGCGTTTGCGTTCAATGGTGGGATTTATGACACTGCAATGAAAAGAGTGTGACAAGAGTGTCGCATTCCTGGGTTGCCGAGAACCGTGGGGCTTTCAGGATTGGGCCCTGTCGCAGTCGGTGGTGTTTTCCCCGGGGAAGGGCTTCGGGTTTGGGGGCGGGGGGCTGGGTCCGAGTGCCGTCACTGGCACGCCTTAAAAATTGCCAGTGCGCTGCGTCTCGCGGCAAGCAGCACGCTTCTGGGTCGCCTTGACGGCCTTGACGGTGCCGAGGGAGTTCAGCGGGACAGCGACCTCCAGGGCTCCGCGGTGCGCGGCCAAACGCCGGCCAATCGGTTAACGCTCTGCCCGCTCTGCCGCCGCGGCTCCGGTCGCGCATCGCGCCGCCGTACGTGTGTTTTTGCGAACCAGTCTAGATCGGGGCGGACAAGGCGCCCTCTAGGCGCGGCGTGGCACGGCACCACGGCGGCGCGGGGCCGCGAGATGCAAGCTGACACAGCGGCTTTGGCGGTTGGAACTGAAATAAACACCACTCCAGCGGCTTTGCTTCTCGCTGCGCGTGGCTTCGCGTTCGGCGCGGCGAAACCTTGGAGGACGTCTGGAAGTTCATGGCACCGCGTCGTCCCTTGCGCGAAAATGTGTTTCAAAAGAAGAAACTGCTAGCTGCCCGAATGCCAGCGCTGACTTTGGTTGTTGTGTTCCAGGGCAGTACGAGCGACGGCGTCCGGTCCGGCATCTCCACGGCCGCGTGCACTTCCACCAGCGCCACCAGCACGCGTTCTAGGTCCACGCGCGTGCTCCCAAACGCGTACACTGCAGCTTCGCTGCGAACAAGACTGAAATCGAAAGAGATTCGAACCAAACCACCCGCTCAATTAAAACCTGTTTTATATTTTTAAAGAAATAAACGAGTTACAAAAACATTCGGTGTTGTTCATCGATCTTCCCCGCAGTCATCTTGGCCGCTAAGTGCTGTCCTGGTCCCGGTCCATGTGGGGGCAGGGCCGGGCAGGGCGTTACCCTTGACCGTGGTGCGGCCGCCACGCCCCGCCACACCCCACCACGCCCCAGCAGATTCGCGAGGCGGCGTGGACACGTGGGCAAGGACGATGACGATGAGGGCCTGCGTCTGCATTACGACATCGAGGCCGTGTTCTCGCCTTCCCTCCTAGTCCGGGCAGGCTGGGCAGTCCGGGCAGGTTGGATGACGGTCCAGGCGAAGAGAGGCCGCCAGGGTCTGCTCAGCCTGGCTCAGCGAATCCGCAGTGTTCCGTTCCGTTCCGTTCCGTTCCGTTCCGTTCCGTCGTCGCGCTGTCTCGCTCGCACCCGGACGGAACGTCCCCATGAGTGCGAGAGAAAGCATGTTCGCGAAAGCACAGCGACCTGGCCGCGGTCGGGAAAGTGATCTCCATTCTGCACACGGGCAAGCGAGGGGCCGCGGTGGTTTATTGCGTCAGCGCCCCTCCGCCCCAAAACCAGTCCCACAATCCATTGCTCATTATCGTGGTTCTTCACGGCTAGTGTCGACTCCTGTGCGGCCCTCTCTGTCTGCGTCCCCGGGGCGGCCGCCCCCGCGATGCCCCGGAGGCCCCGGAGGCCTCGTCGGAGGTCCCGGGCGCCGCGGAGCGTGTCGCCGCCGTGCCCTGCGTCGTCGCCGAGGTCGTCGCCGTGTCCTGCGAGGCGAGCGACCCGCGTCCGGCCGGCCCGTCGAAGAGCAGGGCCAGCTCGGCGGGGTAGAGGCCCCGCGACTGCAGGATCCCCTCGGCCACGGCGCTGTCCAGCCCCCACGAGGACGCCGACGACGAGGTCAACTCCGAGTCCGAGTGGCTCAGCGTGTACTGCGCGGGGAAAAGCTGTCAATGTATGCGGCTTTCGCCAAAGTCCCTCACTGTCTACTTTTCGGCGCAAGTTTCGCGACGAGTTGGCGCCGCAGTGGCTTCTCGTTCACCGCAACGCGCAATGCCTCTCGGTCGGGAATCCCCTCCAAGGAAAACAAAAGCACTGGGTGTCGAAGTGCTGAATGGAAGTTGGCTTCTAGGAACCCGGCGAACTCGCCTGTAATTTGGCATGAACGCGGCGGGCCTCGCGGCGGGCGGCGAGGCGGCCGTCGGCGTCCCTCGCGGCGATTTGGCGGACGGTCACGGCCGTGACGTCACGACCGATCACGTCCTGTCAGGCCGCGGACGTCGCCAGCAGCAGCCAGCAGTCGCGAGCCGGGAGTGGCCAGGAAGCCGCGGGGAGGCGGACTCGCGCACCGCGCACGCAGCCCAGGCACGCCGCGGCACGCGTGCCTCCAGGCGGCCCGAAAACGTAGCCGCCGAGTGGAGTGGCGGGGCGCGGGGCGTTCGCAATGGCCCGGTGATTATTCGCAGTCCCGTTCCGCGACTCCGCGACCGCCATCGCCATGGTTCAGCCAGCGCTGCCCTCGCGGCCGGCCCGGCCCGCGCCACTGTGATTGGCAGCCCGATGCGGCGGACTGCGGTGCCGAAATAACGACGTGGGGAAATCGAGAGTGATCCGGGTCCTCCCCGGCGAAGGCGTCAAGACTCGCGTCAAGATGCCGGAGCCTGACCTAGCATTGCGCATTGCGCTCGGCGCGCCAAAGTAGGGCCTGGCCCACCTGGCGGGGGGCTCCTTTCGGGGGCCGGATGATCCACATGGTCCCGATACCTCGCTGTCCTCGTCGGTGTCCTGGCGGTCCTGGTCGAAGGCGGCGCCCAGCACCGACAGATCGCCCGGCGGCGGCCCCCACAGCCAACGCATCCACGTCTCGCCGACGGACACCTTGAGCACCACGTCCACGAGCACCAGCGAGCTGATGAGCGGCTCCATCACCACGGACGCCAGCACCACCAGCTGCACGTAGTAGTGCATCGGCGCCCTGGGCGAGGCCCTGCGGACCCACCGGAGCGAGGCAGAACTGTGAAAAGGCCTCGGCGGGTATTTGAACTCCGGTCCCCAGAGATGAGCGCAGTGAGGCAGTACGCAAACATGCGACCGGCATGGCGGGTCAGCAGGCACCACGTTGGCTAGGTCAAGCCAGATTGCCGCTCGTCGATTATGCCACCAGAGAGAACGACCGCGGTGGGCACTCTGATTCTGTTGTTGTCAGTGCGGGGGCGGGGAGTCTCGGTCTCCTGCCGTGCGGGTAACCAGCAGTCACCTAGCGTCGGCATGCGGCAGGGCAGGGCCCGGCAGGGCCTAGCTTCAACTAGGCGTGGAGGAGGAGCGGGGGACTGTGACTCACTCGCCGAGTTTTGACGGACGTGCCGGCACAAGAATTGGGGTCCGCGAGTCGCGAGTGTCTGGTCGTCGCGTCGCCGCGTCGCCGCCCTGCACACCAAGTGCGTGGCGTCGCCGGCACTGCCGTGGGAAGTGTCGGAGGCTGTCCGTCCGTCCGAGCGGAGCGGCGCGGCGCTTTTATTGTCACTGCGTTCCGCTTCATTTCCGTTTTCATTTTCATTTCGCTGACCTTGACGCGGCGCGTCCCCCTCGCCGCCGTCGCAGGCCTGGAGGCTCGCGGGCGCCGCGGCGGCACGGCGGCACGGCGCGCCGCAACCATGGCGACGACGACGTCGTCGGGGCTCTGTTGGGCCGGCCAAGCAGCAGGCACTTGTAGGAGGCGCTCGGGATGCGCGCCACGTATTCACGGTGTCGAATACGTCACCACGCCGCTCATCTCGTGCGTCGGGGTCATCTGCTGCTGGGCTACGCCATGGCTGCGCCAGATGCATCTGTCCGAGAGACACATCCGGCCTTTTCGTAGAGAGATTCAACGAGCCGGGCACAATACCTGTATGCACGACCGGCCGTTTTCGAATACACACAGGAGCGAGAAACAACAACCACCAAACAAACGAAACAAATAAAGGAATGAAATTACGGCTACGAGCAGAAAAAGCGTGGATGCCCGATAATAAAGAATAGCTAAACTAACTAATAAAGTGATTGCGTTTGTTGGAGTGTAAAATGTGCACTCTCGGAGCATCCTCCCCGTCCGCCCTCTCCCCGTTTCCACCTCGCTTCGCGAAATGCCCCCGAACAGTGCCGCCGTCCTGCCACTGCCTGCCACCCGGTCCAGGTACTCCAGCCGGCGCGTGGTGGCTGGTGGTGGCGCGTGCCCCCTCCCCTCCAGGCCTAGGCCTTCCTCCTGCCTCCTGCCGCGGGGCGCCTCGCAGCCTGGCAGCCTCGCCTCGCGGGCACGGCGCGGCACAGGTGAGGCAGTCCCCGCAGTCGGAGTCGGTGCAGCAGCAAGCCAGGGCTAGGCTGGGCTAGGCCAGGGCGCAAGCGGAGTAGCGGACGCCCGGGTCGGGACCGTCGGGACGTGCTCGCCGCCACCAGGTGTAGTCGGTCGCATTATGCCGGGCCATGGCGCGGACAATGACTCGTGCTCGTGACACGGTGACACCGCGGGGGCCGCCGAGGGCATCGCGCGAGTGAGCACGCGAGAGAGAAAGAGTGCGAATCACTGGACGCGGTGTGTGCGACTTGGACGGCGCGAGTGAGTGTGCGACATCCTGTGTGCGGACCGCAGCGAGGCGCGAGGGAAGCCCCAGCTCTACCGAGTTGCCAGCACCACCATGCCGACGCAACAGGTAAGCCCAATGCTGGGGTAGGTCTCGGCAAGCTGAGCTTACGAGGCTAAATTAAGAGAAAATTTTAGGATCCTGAGGTGGTGTTTGTGCTGTGAAGCACGCGTGTGATCAGCGCACTTTTTTTCACCTTCAAATATTTTTCTCAATCTAAAGAAGGTTATTGATTTTTGACAATCACATGTTGCACTCCATAACTCGATGAATTATCGCGTATCCGCACAGTTTGCGTCCAGAAACCTCCGGAAACAGGGAAAGAACACGATGTCACATTACGATCAACATAGACCAATAAAAGGCAAACTGATCAGCAGTAATTAATGCGCTATCTCCAATTAAGTCCTGGGAGTCCTAGGCCCTACTAAGTCCTTGGCGACCACGACTCCGGCCCTCCACTGTGAGCTGCGAGGCGCGGCGTGCCGGCCATGCGTGACCGCGAGCCAGAGCGCCAAAGCCAAAACAGGGCCGCTTCGCGCTTCGCGCTTCGCTCTGCGGCGGAACGCAGAGACAATCGCATCGCACAATCACTCCGTGCGACCGGCAGCGATTCACAACATTGCTGCCGTCGTTTGTCTCTCTCTCTCACTCACGGGGCGGAGCCATGTGGAGCGAGAGAGACTGCGCGACGATAAGCACTGTTGGAATGGCTCTGCAGTCGAGTGATTCCGCTGCCTCGCTCTAGCTGTCTTGCTGCCTCACACCCCTAGGGCGGCGCTCTCCCTCCATGAGTGTGAGAGAGACAAGTGCGGCGACGGGGGATGCCGTGCTGCCGGGGCGGCTGTTGGCGCCAAGAGCGCGGTGCGGCGAGGCGCGTCGCGGCGGCACCAGGGCGGCACGCGGCACACACCGGGCAGGACAGTGGGGCCCAGGCCCAAGCCCCAGGCCCAAGCCCCAGCCAGGCCCAAGCCCCAGGCCCAGCCCGGGCCGCGCGCGGTATCGGGCGGCGGCGTCGCGGCGCGCGCACCGGCACGCGCAAGCGCAGCCGCGACGCGAGGGCCCGCGGCCGCGGCGAGCAGCCCGGCGAGGAGGTGCACCGCGGCACCGCGCAACGCGGCGCAACGCACGGCCGCGAGTCCGCGGTGGCGCCAAGCGGTGCGGCCGGCGCCTCGCAGCGGGCCCAGTGGGGCCCCGCACTACCGGCCGGCCTGCCCTGCCCCACGCGTGGCGTGGCGGCGTGGCGGCGTGGCGGCGCCCAAGACCCCCTCCCTCAGGCCCAAGGCCGGGTCGCCGGCGTTGCGTGCACACTACGCGGCCCGGCGGAGACACGCCGCGGCTTCCTGTCCTTTGCCACCGAGGCTCCCTTACAGTGTGCTCGTCTTTCCAGGGCGGCGCCGACAACCAGGCCTACGACGCCCCGCTGGAGCTCCAAGTCCGGACGCCACCATCACCGGCCCCAGCAACACCCGCTCAAGCCCCGCCGGCCGCCGAGAGGACGCAGCTCGGCAATGGCGCGGCCCCCACCTCTCCCTCGGCGCCTGCTTTGGAAAAGGCGGAAAAGGTCGGGAACGCTTCTGCTCTGCCGGAAAGTTTGTTGCTGATGGGTTCTGGTTATTCTTTCTTGCCGCGCCACTGGTCAGCGAGTCCGCACGGCAGGCCGCGTGGCCTTCGCGTCGCCGCACGCGACTCGGTAGAAAAGACTGTAAGAATGGCGCCAATTACACGCGGGAAGAATGCGTGCAGAGATGGTAATGAAAAGAACGCAAAGCAGGCTGATGCCGAACTGCCACCGTCGCGCTGCCTCTCTCGCACTCGTGGAGCGTCCCGTGCGGATGCGAGAGAGACAGAGTGGGTGGCGGTGACTTTGCCGGGAGAGTGCACTGGTCCACTCCACAGGTGTCGGAGGCGGCACCTGCCGGGGGCGGCGGGGGCGGCGACCGGCAGCAGTGGTCCAACGGCATGGAGTTCCTCATGTCGTGCATCGCCATGTCCGTGGGGCTGGGCAACGTCTGGCGCTTCCCCTTCACGGTGTACGAGAACGGCGGCGGCGCCTTCCTCATCCCCTACCTCATCGTGCTGGCCCTCATCGGCAAGCCGCTCTACTACATGGAGATGGCGCTGGGGCAGTTCGCCTCGCTGGGCTCCGTGCAGGTCTGGGAGCTGGCCCCCGTGTTCAAAGGTGAGGCGGGGAGGCAATGGCGGCGACCACCGACGCCACAACGACGCCACTGTACTTTGTTCTTTTGTTCAGGCATTGGCTACGGCCAGCTCATATCTTCCGGCATCGTCGTCACCTACTACTGCTCCATCATGGCCATCACTATCTTCTACCTGGCGGCGTCCTTCTCCTCCGAGCTGCCCTGGGCCACCTGCCCCCGCAGCCCCGGCGTCTACCCCTACACGGCCTGGGCCAACTGCTTCGACGCGCAGCCGGCCTCTGGCGTCCCCGGGTTCAGCCCGCTGCCGCCGGTCAACTTCTCGTACCCGGGCGCGTACCCGTACGGCCCGCCGTACCAACGCGCTCCAGGGCCAAGACTGGGGCCCGACCGCCGCTCCAGCTCGGAGCTCTACTTCAAGTGGGTGAACCTCCGTGCGAACAAGCGCCTGTGGAAGGCAGCGTAGGCCGACCCGCAAGACACGTCTGTGGAGCGGGCGGCCTACCCTGCCCCTTCGCGCCTGTGGAGGACAGGATAGGCCGACCCGCAAGACACGTCTGTGGAGCGGGCGGCCTAGCCTGCCCCTCAGCGCCTGCGGAAGGCGGGGTAGGCCGACCCGCGAGACAGGTGTACACTGTTCTCACGCTCGGCCACTCCAGGTACGGCGTGCTGGACGAGGTGGACGACGGCGTGGGCATCTCGAGGGGCATCGGGTCGCCGGGCTGGGCGCTGTCGCTGTGCCTGGCCGCCACCTGGGTCTCCGTGTGGGCCGTGACGTGCTGCGGCGTGCGCTCCTCCGGCAAGGCCGCCTACTTCCTCGCCCTCTTCCCCTACGTCATCCTCTTCATGCTGCTCGTCAGGGGCGTGACCCTGCCCGGCGCCCTCGACGGCATCATCTTCTTCGTGCGGCCGGACTTCGACCGCCTGCTCGACCCCACGGTAAGCGCACCGGACATACCACCGGAGACGATCTGCCGTCGACGCAAACCCGGCCACTGACCAGACCAGCGTCTGCCAACAGGTGTGGTACGCCGCCGTGACGCAGTGCTTCTTCTCGCTGGGAGTGGGCTTCGGCTCGCTTGTCATGATGTCATCCTACAACCCGTTCCAGCACAACATCCACAAGTGCGTAGCCAAAGATACCAAAGCCGAAAGCATTGTGGTTCCGGATTGGCTTCGCGGCCAACGCAAGACATTCCACCGGAAGCTAAAAACAAAGAATGTGACGTTGACGCGATGCTCCGCAGGGACGCCATCATCGTCACGTCCATGGACACCATGACCAGCATGCTGGCGGGCTGCACCATCTTCGGCATCCTGGGCAACTTGGCGCACGAGTCGGGCCAGTCGGTGGGCACGGTGGTGAAGGGCGGCTCGGGGCTGGCCTTCGTGTCCTACCCCGAGGCCATCGCCAAGTTCGACGTGGCCCCGCAGGTGTTCGCCTTCCTCTTCTTCCTGATGCTGCTCACGCTGGGCGTCGGCTCGGCCGTGGCGCTGCTGGGCAACCTGACGACGCTGTGCGGCGACGCCCTGTTCCCCCGCGCCCCCACCTGGGCCGTGTCGCTGGGCGCGTGCGTGGCCGGCGCGCTGCTCGGCCTGGTCTACGTCACGCCGGTACGCCCACGACAACAACTTTACTAATTTTGCCTGACCTATAACTCCTGTTTCGCACTCCGATTTCCCTTTCCGAAACTGTGCTGTTTTGCTGCAGGGTGGCCAGTACGTGCTGACCCTGGTGGACTACTACTCCGGCACCTTCCCCATCTTCGTCCTGGTGACTGCTGAAGTGGTGGTCGTCAGCTGGGTGTACGGTAAGCGCCTCTGCCTCAGCAGCTGCTCTGCCATCACAGCCAGCTTGAGATTGACCGCGCCCCGGCCTCGTTCACGTTCCCCAGGCATCGACAACCTGTGCCGCGACCTGGAGCTCATGCTGGGCCACAGCCCCGGTCTGTACTGGCGCGTCACGTGGGGCCTCATCACCCCGGTCACCATGATCGTCATCCTGGTGTACACCATCGCCACGGCGCAGCGCCTCGAGCACAACGGCTTGCCCTTCCCGGACGGCGCCGTCGGTAAGCATCCCTCTGTCTCTCTCCCACTCAGGCGGCGTCCCGCGTATAAGGTGCGAGAGAGACAGCGCTCGGCGGGGCGAAACGCTGTCGGAGGCTTGCAGTGTACCCACTGTTGCAGCGGCTGGATGGATCATCGCGGCCTTCGGCCTGGTGCAGATCCCCCTGTGGGCCGCGGTCTTCTTCATCAAGAACAGGGGCCTGTCCTTCGGCGAGGTGAGTGCCGCGTGCAGCCCCTCCGCTCCAGCGTCCCCACTCTGCATGGCGGTTCATTCCCTTGGGGCTCTCGACGTTGCAGGCGTGCACGGCGGCGCTGCGGCCCTCGGCGCTGTGGCGGCCCGGCCCCTCGGCCGACCCCGCCGACGTGAAGCGCTGGCAGGAGTGGCGGACGCAGCGCGTGGGGCGGAAGGCGTGCGCGTGGACGCGCGCCAAGGAGATCGCCGCCGCCACGTTCAACCGGTAGGGGCGGCACAGGGCGGCAGCACGCCCCCCGAGCAGCCCGCCGCACCGCCCGCGCCCCACGCGAGGCGCGAAGCGAGTCGGGGGAAGTCCACTCACGCCGGGCAAGGCCGGCCGAGGATTGGCTCTTCCCTTCCCTAAACGTGCAGCGCGCAGCGCGACTGTGATACTCTGTGTAATTATGTCATACGTGTACAAATCTGTGAATAAATAACGATAAGTGAACTCTGTTAAAGGTGCCGGCGTTTCGTTTTTCACTTGCCCACGTTCCTCACAGCAATGTTACCGCGAGATGTCAGTGTGCAGGCGGGAAATTTATTCTTAGGAGGGTACAGGGGTGTGGCACTTCCTAGCTAGTAGTCACACATGCGTATTTGCCGGTTGAAGAGGCAGAAAACTTGAAGCCAGTTGTGGATCATCATGACTGGAAAAGAGCCGTTGTGTTAAAATGGTAACGACAACCAAGGGTTCGGAAGCGCGTCTGCTGTCTGCATGCACACCTGTGAAAAGTAGCTCCGAGCGGTTCATGTGGATGCCCTCGTAGAACAGCCTGCTGGCGAAGAGGAAGGTCTCCAGGAATATCACCAGCATGCCCATGAACAGCCAAGGCAGCAGCAGCACGGGGTTGTCCTGCCGGATGGAGGGCAGTCAACCTTGTGACCACTGTACACGGCCCGTGAGGGTTTGCGGGCGACACGTGCTGAGCTCACCGTGAATGCCCCCAAGGCCAGCAAGGTGTAGTGCTCCACCCCCAGCACGGAGGACATGAGCTTCAGGTCGCGCGCCGTCTCGTTGGACACTGTGGACATCAACAGGAGCCGAAAGTGAGTGCCCGTTCCCGCCGCCACAATGCCGCCACAGCGCGCGACAGACAAAGGACCTACTCAGGCGCTCGCTACGACTCAGCCTGTTCTTCCACAGCCCCTCGCATGTCGGAGATTCTCCATTGAGGAGACGCCTTAAGTCTATAAGCGTCACCACCTAAGAGAGAGGATGGGACGATTTAGACTTCCCGCTCACTCACCGAGCCGAGGCGCCCGGAGGTAGGCAGCCCGTGGCGGCGCGGCGTGGCGCTCCCGACCGTTCGGTTTCAAAGACGCCAGCCGAAGAGACCCTCTCACTCACCGTCCCCAAGATCCCCAAACAGACTGCGTAGGTGCTGAAGCCGAACATTTTCGGCGAGCAGAGACGGTTGTAGAAGCGGCTGTACTTCTGTAAACGCGGGAAACTTGGCGTTCGGAGAGGCAGTGACTTGTCTGCGCTCTCTGCGCTCCGTGTACAGCGAACATACCATGAGGGGCGGCCCGAGCACCGTGCTGAACGGAACCCTCATGATCAATCTCAAGTTGTCTGTAGATGGTTTTGCACTGTTGATTTTGTTTTCAGCTCCGGGACGACATTTAATTTAAAGCAATAATGACACCTACGGGCACCTGTTGGGCGCCGATTGTTAAGACAGACGGGTGAGTGGAAGCCGTGGAAGCATGAATGGAAGGAATGAATGAAGTCAGGTCTGTTAAGTTTAGAAAATGTAAAAGTTATTTCAATAAAGCAGTCAAAAAATTCAAACCACCAATTGTTTATTCTAGATTGAATTATCTCCCATATTTTACACCAAGAATACTCATGGAAGACACATTCTCACAACCTAAGAAGTTCAAAAGGAACTGACAAAATCATAAATACAATAAATTAATACAAATTCAGCCTTGATACAAAGGGCTCTACAAGATTTAAACAACCAATTTGATCAGAGTTGCAGCGATTTCATTGAACTGGATTATATCCACAAAATTAAACAATACCATCAATACATTTATAAGCATTCAAAACATCTTGTGTTGTAATGAAATTACCTGGGAAAATATGTCTAATCTTCCAGCCTATGCTCATCTTAACCGACTAGAGAAATACAGCTATTTAATAGCAAACATTATTATGCAAGACTATCTTAAAACTGAGCATGTTTACATGCTTCCTTCTTGCTCCTGAGTTTCTAAAAATTGAGACAATATGCCGTTTTCAATAGGGATGATGAGGGTTTCAACACCATCAGCACCACGGCGGGCTCTCAGGAGATGATGGTCTAAAAATTCAGTCAATTGAGCTCTTAGCACCTTATCAGAGCTAGCCAAGAAGGCTGCTCTACACTTCCAATACAAATCTTGGAAGGAAATTCCTAAAATAAAAGAAACAAAAATACTGAAAGGTTGTAACTCGGGAGGAGTGCATTCTACTTCACACTACAATAATGACACAAGGGCTTACCTGAGAAACTCTGATTCTTGGAGTTATCAAGCTGGTTCTTAGCCACCAAAACAAACACCTTCTTTGCATTAGGAATGAGTGATTTAAACACTGAGTTCAAAGAAGACAGGGCCAGAGCTCCAGACTGTTGGATAAGTAGAGAACTCTCATAAGAAGTTTCAGCAGCATAAGCAACAAATGTGGTCACATCATACCAAACAAAATTAAAGCGCCTCAACTTTGTTTGATCCCATACTGTAAGAAGACAAAGAGTTAATACACCATTTGAAATCCTTATTTCCAAGGTGAGAGTAGATCAATTTTTTGCAAGGTTTAAAAAATGTAATACTTACAAAGCGGTGCATTAATATGATCAATAGAGGCAATGAGGTGTACTTTTGGGATTTGAGCAAGGTGAGAAAATATTGCTTGTGCTTTATCATTGCGAAATGAAGCTCCATCCAAATTATGAACCAAGAGATAGATTGGTTCTGCTTGTTTCTTGGACTGGATGGATTCAATCAAATCTACACATTCTAATAAATTGGAGGGGATGTCGTTTACATCTAAAATCTCAGTAAGTATGTCATCAAGCACCTGAAAAATACTTCTTTTAGAACTGAAAATATGATGCAAAACTACCAACGCAAGAACAAATTTTATTCACACATACGTTTTTGATGAGGACGCCTGGAAAAAATCCATTAACTACCAAAACATTGCAGTCGCAGAGCACTTCCTGATGTAATGTCTGAATAACATGCCGCTTTGAGCCTAATCCATATAAAAGCACACTGTAGCCCTCCCTGCAAGAATTTTACTTTGTTATTTATCATACCATAAAAAAAATTTGGATTACCTAAAATATACATGCAACATGTAATGTTCCTACCAAAGGGAAAATAGCCACTGGTCTGCATGATCTCGATACTCATCACAAAGTTGTGTGATGGGTTGGTGGTGAGGAGCATCTACATCATCTAGCAGTTTATGCAATGCGTCCTGTTGAAGTCTAGGTGTTCTCAGCCTGCTAAGTGTGTTATTAGATGTAATCTGCTTTGCACTTTGAGTTTCAAAGTAGGCATCTGTTGTTATTTCCTGATAAATTAAAAAAAAGAGAACAGTGTGAAAATAAATTAAATTGCAGGATAGAAAAAGAAATACAAAAACTATTAAGATGGGTTGTTGGTGATAGCTTCCTTACAAAATCTTTTTCCTCTTTGATATTTCTGCGAGAAGTTCTTGAGGAAGTGGCACGACTTTGTGGGGTAGAGACTACCTGCTTCGTTTTCAATTCCATTTTTCCAGTGGCCTTGTTGGGAGATTCATCTTCATCCCCTGACGATTCATTGCTGGATTCCTGAAATAGGCAAGGCTGTTTGTACGATCAAACTTCACCCAAAATTCAAAAATACATCATAAATAGACCAGCCTTACAGAGCTTTCATCACTAGGTTTGAAAGATCCTTCTTCATCAGAGGAAAAATCACCATCATCACTACCAGATTCTGCAAGAGACTTTTGAATCACTGTAAAAAGAATGAATTAGTGAATTAAGTACTTAAAGAGTGATACTTATTACAATAGAAACGAATGTTCAAAAAAGCACTTACGAGCTCTTGTTCTAGATCGCAGACGGGAAGGTGTTTTGTCTACTCCTGGAATGGAATTTGATGGGGTACGAGATGGAGTATCATGCAGCTGTAGTGATACACGAGACTTGGGAGTGCCAACTGTACTATCCCTTTTTTTGAGAGCAGATTTAGTTGGTGTGCCATCAAGCTTAGATGGGGTGGCACCAATGGCCTTAGTGTTGAATGACACTCTCCGGCTGGGAGTACATGAGACATTTTCCGAATCTTTATGCCTAGGTGTCTTACTTGGTGTCACATTTTCATCTACTTTAAAGGGAGAGGAGTATTTACTGGCAGATTCCTGGGCTTTAAGGACCATACTTTTACGCTTTCTAGGAGTCTGAAATCCAACTTGAACCACTGCATCGTCCTCATCTCCAAGAAGAGCTGATAGAACAAAAGGTCAATAGAAAACAAAATTACAGCTGGATTCAGTTTTCACATTCAATTTTCGCAAGTACAAACCTAGAGGTTTGTGAACTCTTTCAGTGAATTCTGCTGGTAATTCCTCTTCAATTTTATCAAGCACAGATTCCTTGATGCTACAGTCTTCGTTTGCTTGACGAAGAGATTTTCTGCGACCTGAAGCAGGAGTTACAGTCTTGTCAGAAGCAACGCGACGAGCTAAAACAAAGCGCAACAGCAAAAAGGTTCACAAAAAAAATAAAATAAAAGATCTAATAAAAGTAACAATATTGCATTGGTTTACCGTATATTACAATATGCACACTAACCATTCTCCTTGCCTTCTAGGCGACGATTCTCACACAAAGTGTGCGTGAGCTGGAGGTCTACATCTTCCGCAAACCGAACGGAAACATTTCTCTTCCGTAGAGTTCTGGTAGGTTTTGAATCGTCCATACTGTAGCACTCAATGTCCAAAATATGACTTGACTTTAGCCTCTTATTTGGACGTGGGCATGTTGTTTTGTTTGATCTCCCGCTTCGTCGTTCCCGATCTTCATTTGTTGACCACAGTACCAACAGCACGCAAATGAAGGTCCAGCTGAGCTTAGGTGATTTCCGCTGAAAGACAATCACAATACTGTGTTTTTCTTATTAAAGCACTAATTTTAATTTACTTTTTATTCTTTTTTGAATATTTGAAGGTGACCCGACGAGCAAGCAAAGAATTGCCTTTTATTTGGTGCATTGGTAATCAACGTGACAACTGTCATTTTGAAATCACCCACCCACCTTTTCGGTACTTGCTCTTTCTCTGTGAAGAAGTGTTTTTGATCACGACCATAGAAAGTTGGAAAGTTGTTGGCCTGTCCCGAAAGGTTTGGAAGTTTAACACTTATCTGTGCATTGTCATTATTTTTGTCTCTGTAGGTTATGTATTAATTTTTTCATTAATACTCTCCTTTCAGTCTCAACATGAGTACCCACAAACCGAGTATGCAGCAAAAGGTTCTTCTCGAAGCACGAGTGTTAGAAACTCTGAATCATTGTTTCCCTGAGTTCAAATGTTCCATAACTGACATCAAGTTTCCTAAATCAGAGTTTGTCATTAATTTCTACAAGTTCATCTTGGAGGAGCTTCGATTTGACGTTTCTAAATTAATGATGGTAAGCCCACCCCACTGTTTGTTTTGCTTGTATAATGTTTTATAAGTTTCACCCTTAAACGTCTCATGATCTTAGGGCCCTCTGGAAGATCAACTTCAAGGGGAGTCTCACCCAGAGTTGTATTTAAAAAGCTTGCCACTCGTTAACATGGCCAGAGCTCTCAGAACAATCCTCATTAGGCTTTTGGGTGCAGATAGGCTGCAGTTTGGGCTTGAAGACCTTTTGGAACCTAGTAAGTGTTGCTCATCATAAGAATAGTGTTGAAGACAAGTCACAACAGCTGTTACATTTGTAACTTAATTTGCATTTTCCCTCAATTTCAGATCCCTCCCGAAATTCTCTATTCATGTTTAACCTTTTAAACTTCTACTCATTCGCGGATACAAGACTTCCCGAGTTGTCAAGTAAATTAGAAGTTATAGGTCAATCCAAGGCAGAAGCTGAGGAACTTCTGAGAAAACGAGAAATGATCTCCAGAGGAATCAACCAGAGAGCTCTCACTAAAGGCAAGAGAGCAGATTATGCTAGAGAGGTAAGACAGCTTTTCCCAAATTTAGTATTTTCTCATTAGGAAAATTCTATGTACTGGACTCTAAATCTGTGTCACAATGTTCAGATTAAATCAAAGAAGTTGGAGATCGATGAATTGCAAAAGGAGAGCAAGTCTGTTGAACAACTGAGTGAAAAGAAGCTGGCAGAGCTGGAAGAAGCAAAGAAGAAACTAGGCAGAGTTCAGTCTGATGTATCACAGGTTTGTGTCTTGATTTTTCTGTAGACAGAATTGTTTAGAAAAATGCTCGATTTACAAGTTTTACGATTTGTGTTTCAGTTAAATGAGACCTTTATCAAATTGGAAGCTCAACAAGTCCAATCTCCTGATGTCATCAAGAGCAATTTTAAGAATATGCAGGCAAAATTGGAGGAAACGAAACAACAACTAGAACAAGCACAGCAGACCCTAAAAGAAAGGAAGAAGGCCATTGCACTTTTTGAAACTGTAGAAAAAGGTCAAGACACTCGCTTTGGGTTGGTCACAGATGCTGTTTCTATTGCAAGAACTATCAAGTAAGGATGAAGTGGAGGCCTGGTCTGATAAGATATTGTTGTGATCTCCCCTTTTTTCTGGTGGATGTCAAAAACCTCAATGGCTTGGCATTAATGTGCTATAATTGTGATTTTCCAGGGATCTTGAAAAGCAGTTGGCAGATGGGCAGAGAAAGCTTAAGTCTGAATTAGAGGAAATATCCAAGTGCCAGGCCAATTTAAAAGAATTGATGAGAGAATCTACAGACCTGTCTCATCAACTAACTAACACTCAACTGAAATGGGAAAGCAAGAAGAGGAGCATGGAAGAGGAAATTCGTTTCCTGAAAGAGTAAGTATACAGCAGATTGTTCCAACTATGTCCAGGTAGCTGATAAATTTCTGACACAATTGTTTGTCTTTTTACCTAAGGGACAAAAATCGCCTGAAAAATAAAGAAAGTAAAGACATGGAAAAAATCTGTCAGGAGATATGTCAGGTGCAGGCTGAAATTAAAGAACTTATTGAGAAAAATAATGCTTTCAATGAAATGTGTGAGAAGAAATATGCAGAATTGATGGAAATGGTGAGTCTAGCTTTCACTTAATTAATGACTACAACCATTATTTCTACCATAAGTTCACTGCTGTATTCATTTTCACTTTATCAGCACTTTCTAATGACATGCTTCTCTTTTCAGGAGCAAGAGTTTATTGCTGAGAAGAATGCAGCGATAGAAGCAGACATTGAGGGGTTAAATAAACTAAAAAGGGCACAAGGAAGAAATTAATCTTAAAAATTTTCATTTATTTGAGAAGTACAATTGATGCTTATTTTACATACTTTTTTTCACTTAAATGGCTGTAACATTTCATTTTACTACTAAAAATCATTAAAGGAGGATTCTGCTTCATTCTGTTCGCTTATCACATGACTGTATATTGAGTTGATTTTTAGTTTAGCTCTTGCCGCCATGTGTTGGTGGTTTAAAAACCTTCCCCTTTCCACCTTGGCCGGCGGCAGCGGCGCTCGTCGCATTTGAACGGCGACGAGGACGGCGCGTCCTTTTGGTTGTCAATGGCCTTATGGCTCTTTCGGAGCTGCATTTTTCCAGGTGTTGCATTCTTGCCTGGCTGGACAGACTGGATATATCATGAAAGCAGCTTGGGCAGTACCTCGGACCATTACCATCTGCATTTATTTGGATTTTGGGACCTACGGCTTTCTTGGGTTGCTTTTTAGGTCGCTTTTTAGATTGCTTTTTAGATGCAATGCTAGTCTTGATAAGTTCAGCCATTTGTTTAGCATTTCGGTCAAGTGGAACAGCCGTTGCTAAGGCATGTTGTGGATCATTTTGAACATGCAAGTCAAACGACAAGCCAACATCATTGTTAAAAGTTTGAAATACTGTCCTGCATGTTCCACATTCCATCTCATAATCATTCAGATCATGCTCAATCGAAAGTTTTTCCAATTCTTCTTGCAAACATATCTGGGTGGAATCTACAATCTCTACTGAATGTCTGGAGACCAATATTTCAGTTTTTGGAAAGATCACTGAAGATTTATTTAGACTGTGTAATGGAACGTCACTACTACTTTCCTGACCAGAACTTAAAATTTTGCCAGAAGCAGTGGTGCTTTTGCTGTCAGTAGCAAGCAGTGCTTTATAATTTTGAAGATGTTTCTTTCCTTTTGAATGGTCACTCATGTTGTTAACTGATACAGGGACCAAACAAACTGAGCAGTAAGTATTAAGACTGTGTAATGGAACTTTACTATTGTTTTTCTTACCAGAGTTTAAAATTTCCCCAGAAGTAGTGGTGCTTTTGCTGTCAGTAGCAAGCAGCGCTTTATACTTTTTGAGATGTTTCTTTCCTTTTGAATGGATACTCATTAGTTTCATTGATACAGGAACCAAACAAACTGAGCAGTAAGTCAGGTGGTCAACAATTCGGGCACTCTGGTTAGCAGGGGGTAGCAGTAAATTTGCTTTCTGATCTTCTTGAACTGGAGATATAGCACCCCTTGATCTTTGAATATATTTTCTGGTCTATCTTCGGCTACATTATTGAGGTCCGTTAGTGCTAAGACAGTGGGTTTTCTTAATGCTATTTCGATTTTTCCACTACCATCACTCTGGTCCAAAGTCTTTGGAAAGGTCCCAGAAGATTTATTAAGACTGTGTAATGGAACTTTACTACTGTTTTCCTGACCAGAGTTGAAAATTTCACCAGAAGCAGTGGTGCTTTTGCTCTCAGTAGCAAGCAGTGCTTTATACTTTTGAAGATGTTTCTTTCCTTTTGAATGGTCACTCATGTTGTTCTTTGATACAGGAACCAAGCAAACTGAGCAGTAAGTCTGATGGTCAACACTTCTGTCTTTCTGGTTAGAAGGGGTGAGCAGTAAATTTGCTTTTGGATCTTCTTGAACTGGAGATATAGCACTCCTTGAGCTTTGAATAGATTCTTCTAGTCCATCTTCGGCCACATTGTTGAGGTCTAATGGTGCCAAGACAGTGGGTTTTCTCGATGCCATTTCAATTTCTCTATCACCATCACTTTGGTCAGAACCAGAAGTTTCACCAACAGCATTAAAACGATTGCTATTGCTAGACAGCAGTGCTATTTTGACTTCAGATGCGTCTGTTAAGGAGGCAGAGCATGCAGGATTGTAATCTTTAAACTTCTCTGTTTCTTCAGTGGCCAATATTTCTGCCCCAGTCACTGTTTTAAAAGGAGCACTTTTACTGCACAGTAATTCACCACTCTCCTGATAACAGCCTAAAATTTCACCAGAAGCACTGGAACATGTGCTTTTGATGTCATTAACAAGCAGTGCTTCATAATTTTCCCTGTGCCTTTTTCCTCCTATATGCTGAGTCATATTACTTACTGGAACAGCAACAGAACAGATAGAGCAGTGACCCATGTGACCAGTTGACTTTGCAGGTGGACTCAGTAAACTTGTGCTCTGATCTTGTACTTCAGAAACAGCACAACTTGACGTCAAAGTAGATTCTTCAAGTTCAACTTTGGCTTCATTGTTGTCCAATATTTCTAGGGCCATGCATTCTCTTAAGGCCACTTCAAGTATCATTTTTCTCCGGACATGATGTTCTACAGATGTACTACAGTGTAAGCTTAGCTCTTCTTCACTTTTGAAAGGGAGTCTACACAAGTAACAACAAATTGGACTGAACATCTGATTATTCTCATCAATAACCAGTTCTTGATCATGTTCCAATGAGTGGTGAACCAAGTCACTCTTCGCTGAGAATCTCATTTCACATTTGAAACAGGGATATGGATATATTTCCCTTTTTAAACAGCGTGCCAAGTACTTATGAGCAGCTGTCTGCTTATGTTTGGTGCGATTGTATGTTTTCACTACTGTTAAACAAATGAGGCAACACGTTTCCTCTGCAAATTTCTCTCTTACTGTAGCATTGCAGGGCAAAACCCTCTCCATTGGGTTGTGGTCCTCCATTGCCTGAATAGGTAAAGGAACTTCTTGAGTAGTTCTGGTCACTGAAAAGAGAGGAAAATACATTTACAGACAGTTGCATGTCGTTTATTTATTCAACAAACTATACCCTCAAGCTCTTTATCCCATAAAAATCACTGGACAGGTAAAAAAATCATATCATCTGGATGCACTTGTTGCACTAGGGTAGTGGCCAAAAAAGTTCACAGAAAATAACAATGGATCATACCGGTCTGGAGCAAAACAAATTGCGGCTGGATAGAGCATTAAAACTTGAGAAATTACTTACTGCGGCAGAAACTTCTCCCAACTAAATCGTTAAGACAGTTCGTGGTGTCGTAGGTTGGATGATAATCATCTGCCACCGCCACCGCTGAAGTATGCTCGCGATCATAAACAAACCCTCACTTGTTTTCGGATTTCGTCTGCTCCGCGCGTGCGCAACAGCCACCGTGCTGAAAAAAATCCTTAGCATTATTCGCACGCAGTTAGGTACATCGATATCGATCCGGCTCGAGGTTATGTTCGGGTACAGCAGTTGAACCAAGTCGAACAACAAATATACGCACACTGAGCCGTGCCTTGTAAGTTGTTCCAATACTTCACAAGTAGTTTTGTTGACGTTTGCATCTTGTCGAATGTTGTGAGCGTCGCCATGTCGGAAAGCACTTTTCGTCATACAACGAAAGAGGCTCGAGTACCTCGTTTGTTCAAAGAAGCCAAAAAAATAGTCCAGAAAGTTAGAGAAGAAGGTGGAAATTTTAAAGGCCTTGTATATGAATCAAAGGGATCTAAATCAAAGGAAGGAGGGGTAAGTCAGCAACAAACATTCATGATGCTATTGTATTTCCATGTAAGACGTTTCCTCTCTCTTTCACTCTTCGCTCAATTGACTTTATTTTATTGTCTGTTTGTACAGGGGAGATTAAAGGCTTTGTATGCCCTAGTATCAGAAACCCTTCGTCATGGTTCTGAGCTGGATTTGATTCTTCGTAACACACAGATTTTGATGAAGGAGCCTCGTCTTGATGCCTGGCTAGCACGGGTTCTCATAACACAACTTTTGTGGCGAAAACAGCCACTTTCTAGTCCTGCTTTACCAATCAAGATTATCCTCAGTTATGAGGCTGCTCTTCGAGCTCAGCAGGAAAAGTTGTCATCCTGTATTTCACAGACAGGTTTGTTTCTAACATTTTACTTTTGTTTCACAACAGGATGAGCTTCATGGCTGTTGGTTTCTATCTACGAACTCTGTTCTCACTTCACCTTTGATAAGCTGACCATCTTCATCTTCATTTGACACAATGGGCAACACATCAGCTCAAACATTTGGCGCTCTTCTGTTTTATAGTCTTCTTATGTTCACGCTGCCTTTTCTGGCCTACTTTGGCACACGGCAGTTCTTGAATGAATATGTTCACATGACGGGCTTTGCTCGAACTGCATGGTCAGTTGCTTCAGCAGTATTAGTCGTGAATCTGATTGTGTTTGCTTACATTTGGAAAGCGTTACATGAACCTGTTGATGATGAACCGAGTGGTGAAATATTGCCTGATAAACCTGAGGAACCGAAGGGTGACAAAAAAGACAACTGAATGTTATTAACTTGGTCTATCTTCTCTGTACTTAAATTTTAGCCATGGCTTTAAATTGTGTCTTTACATTGCCCTCAGCATTAAGCAGAAAAGTATTCATCTTTTACATGTGATTATCATGTATTTTTAAGGTAACCAAAGAACTGCACATTCCATGTTCTTAATTATTTTCCTGAAAATAAAATTTCAAAAAAAAAAAAAAAAGAAATACTCTAGTTACTAGAATTTTGACTTGAATGGTATTTTTTTCAGTTCTGCCTTATCTTGTGTTTTTGTCATTCAATTTTGTCTGACAAGTGATATTTTACTATTATAATTATTAGTTCATAGGCAGTTATGAAATGAATCCTCTCTTTATTGTGCACAAATTGTGAGTTTGTTCTGGAGCTATGTTATTTCTTCAATGTAGTGTTGTCAGGAGATTTGGAAATAAAATGGCTGAATTGTGCACAACTTTTATTACCTTAACTTGCATCATTTTACACACTGTATATCCTTGAAAACTAGAAAGCTTCACAACAAGGAACTTTATTTTGATTTATATTTCAGTTTCCAAAAAGCGGCCCAGATACATCCGCATTAACACCCTCAAGACATCAGAACAAGAAGTTGTCGACTTCTTTGTTCAAGATGGGTGGAATGAAGTCTGGACAAAAGGCACAAATGATTATGCTGAGTTCCTTACAAGAGTTTCCTCATTATCTGAAAAGGAGTTCATGCGTGATATGCACATTCCAAATCTTTTGATTTTTCCTGACAGTGTAAAGTTTTATGATATAAAATATTACCAGGATAATTATCTTATCTTGCAAGATAAGGTTAGTTGTTCAAACAAAATTTAATTCTATTAACGAGGATGAAAAAGCATTAATTGCTAGGGCACTATGTTTTAGGCCAGCTGCATGTCTGCTTTGCTATTGGACCCAAAACCAGGAAGTGTTGTATTAGACATGTGTGCTGCTCCTGGAATGAAGACAACCCATGCAGCTGCCCTTTTGAATAACTCAGGGTACGGAAATAAGACAACTATTGCCTTAGAGCATCTTTGTATATTTGTATCTGGCACTCTCATCATTTGTTTCAGAACTCTGTATGCAATTGAGAAAAATCGAGGTCGTTATTCTAGCCTTTGCAAAGTTGTTTCCAACTCTGGGGCCACTTGTGTGAAAACTATTTTAGGCTGTTCTATTAATAGTGATGGATTATCACTGCCAAATGTTGAGTATATTTTGGTAGATCCTTCTTGCTCTGGGTCGGGTAAGTCCCTTTAATTAAAAAGTGATAATGAAGTTCAGTAATACAAAGCAATGCTACTAATTTACTGTTTGATTTCTGAATTTTTCAGGCATGGCTAGCCGTCAAGATGTATTTAATGAATTAGATGATATCCCAAAGGAGCGCCTTGAAAAGCTTGCTGGATTCCAATCTCACATTCTTCGGCACGCTATGACAAATTTTCCTAATGCTAAGCGTATTGTCTATTCAACATGTTCAATGTGCCCGGAAGAGAATGAAGCTGTAATTCAGAATGTGTTAAGCACAACAGAAAACTTTAAGCCTGTTTCACCAGATATTTGTCTTCAATGGATGCAGAAAGGATCAACATCTTACAAGTGGGGTGATTTTGGTTTTTATGCAAGACCGGAAGTTAACTTGACTAGTGGATTTTTTGTTGCTGTCTTTGAACGCACAGAACATGAGTATGTTCCAGGGGAAAAATTATAGATCAAGGGAGAAAAAATAAAAGTCACAAAGCTATTCAAAAGCCTGAAAACATAGCTCAATCTAAATCTAGAAAAAAAGATAAGAATAGAGGTGTATCTAAATCCATTAATAAAGCTAAGAATGCAACTTCATCCAAACCAATAGCTTTGAATAGGATAATGAAAGCCATGGGTACTGTTAAACAGTGCTATGAGGCTGCAGATACTTAATGTCACCAGGAAGCCTTTTGACTATGTGCTGCATGATAGAAGATAAAAATCAGCAAAAGCCCAATGTTACGACAATTGTGATTAAGTAAACGTTCACACTTGGCTAATTGTAATACTCCTCTTGCAGTTGTGGTTAATAAAATGCTCAGACGTAGTTTGCGAAATTAATTGTAACACTCCTTATGCCCAAAAAAACGCATCTTAAAAAAAGTGGCAAATTTTTAGCAGGAAACGGAAGCTTAACCCAGTCAAAAAATAGTCCCCACACGAATGGCAAAGTTTCATGTTAAATCGGGCCGTAGGCCAGGAAGGGCCAAAGAAATTGGTCGATGGTTTATTTCCGTGCCTTCTGATTTGTTTCAAGTCGGTACTCGAACGCATTGCCACCAGAACTGGAGGTCACTTGTTATGTAACGCAGACGACACGTAGTTGTGGACGATGTATTCCTCCGCCAGTCCACCAATGGGGAGCGGCGACGGCGGTGGCTCAGCGTCCGAAAGCCATGTCCTGTCTCTGTTGCACTTGAGCATCAGCAGTTGTCACAAGAGAGAGGTGCAGGGCGGCGTTCAGTGACGTGACCTTCGTATCATCCCATCATCATCTTGCTTCACCTCACTCGACGCACTCCACACCGACCGCGGGACCGTCGACCACGTCTCATCTTCACGAAACGCTAGCCGCTCTACATTTAAGGTAACTTTATTGAATGCCAGCTCCCCCTAGTTGCACTAGAGGAGGTCTTATCCCTACGTTAATGCGGAGTTGCTTTCAATGCCGTTGTCCGTGTTGAATGGGATTCGTGCCTTTGGATATTATGGATTTCTATGATGATGAAAGATGACGGGCTTCGACTGGGCTACTTCTAGGCCATTCTACGGTGATTCAGCACAATGGTGTAGGAAATGGCTCTGCGTTTGGCTTTGCGTGGTTCATGGAGCTGGCCCGAAATGTGGATGCGTCGGGCGTGCAGGCTAGGGGTACAGTGGCATCGCAAGGGTTACGTGGTGCCCTTTGTTACCAGAGGAAGCCGGGTTGGCCGGCGTTACGTCTTGGCGGTGCTGCCTTGTCTGTTTGACGGTGTTACCTAATCCGGAGAGTCGATACTAGATACGTGCTTCTTCCCACTGCGCTCAAGCCCACTTGCATCACTGCTTTAATTTTGAATGGCGACGAGCTTTGCCTAACCTGTATTTGGCTCGGAGTTGACGTGTCTAATTGCCTTGTTTTCTTTTGTCTTTTTCTGTAGATGCCTGTCCCAGACCTTCAGAAGCCTGCCCCAGCCTTCGCCGGCACCGCCGTGATCGACGGCCAGTTCAAGGAGATCAAGCTCAGCCAGTATGCAGGCAAATACGTCGTCCTGTTCTTCTACCCCCTCGACTTGTAAGGAGGCCTTGCCTTGCACAACTGTCTTAATTGATGTATTCAGCGCGGTAGCTCAATTCTGTTTTTTTGTTGCAGCACATTTGTGTGCCCCACTGAAATCATTGCATTCTCCGACCGCATCGAGGAGTTCCGTCGCATTGGCTGCGAAGTGATTGCTGCTTCATGTGACAGCCACTTCTCTCACTTGGCTTGGGTGAACACTCCCCGCAAAGAGGGTGGTCTTGGCAGCATGGCTATTCCTCTTCTTGCTGACAAGTCTGGCAAGATTGCTCGCTCATACGGAGTGTATGATGAGGAAACTGGCATTCCTTTCCGTGGTCTGTTCATCATCGACAAGAAGGGAGTACGTTCTATTTCTCAGCATACTTACTTTTCTTCAAGCCCTTTTACTTGTCAGCTTGTTTAACACTTGTTGCGTTTGTTTCAGAACCTTCGTCAGGTTACTGTCAATGACCTGCCTGTTGGGCGATCTGTCGATGAAACAATCAGACTGGTGCAAGCCTTCCAGTTCACTGATGAGCATGGCGAGGGTAAGCATCTCCTCATGGTTTTCTTCGGAAAAAGTAATGTTTTACCAAAAATAAATATTTAACACACTTATCTGTGTTACAGTGTGCCCCGCTGGCTGGAAGCCTGGTTCCAAGACCATGAAGCCAGACCCTGTAGGATCCAAGGACTACTTCAAGTCTGCTAACTGAACAACCTGTTTGTAGCTGCTGGCAGCTGTTTCCTGCAATACTCATTGCTCTTTAGTCTCATTATTTCACTCCTGGATTTAGTGAGCTTTGTTATTGTTCCTTACTGAAATTGAGCCTTATCAGTGTTACCAGCATTTATTTTCCAGTGATGTTTACTTAACTTTTTAGCATAACTTATTTGTATTTTTTTACTTAAGTATTCTTGCAATAAAGCAGTTGATGGTCCCTCCCCAAGATTGTCTCTTCTTTAGCTACCCTTTTAACAAGTTGGTGTGGGATTAGGTTTCCTGCAGTTAAATTAAATCAGTCGCCAGGCACTGTGCGCAAAGAACTCTTTACTTTGATCCCTTTCGAATAAGGGGTCGGACTGGTGAGAGTCCAGCCGCTTCAGCCCAAGCGGGAAGCATCCTCTCAGCCATTCGTGTACGATGGGTTGCCTAGTCAGCCGGCGCTCTGCTCTGAGGAGGAACCGAATGCCTGGCTTGACCCGACTCTTTCCGAGCCGAAGTGCAGATGAACGCCGGGTGGACGAGTCGCAAGTCCTGTGCTGGAGCCCAGCCGGAACCTCAGCCTCAGCTGGCAGCCCGAGGCCCCTGCTCGCGCCGAACATCACCGTCGTCCTGGCGGTCCTAGCGGTGGGGCCCGAGGGGCCCTGCTGCCCGGCCCGCACCTTGCCTCACCTCGCCCCGCGACGGCCGCCCGCGCCCGCGCCTCGGTGGGGCCTGGGGCAGCCTGGGGCTGGGGCCCCACTCCGCCGGGGCCGGGCCGCCTCAGTCTCAGTGGCGAGCCGCTGCCGCTGCCTCAGTCAGTCAGTCGCGAGGCGTTTGTGCGGGCAGTCTGCGCACCGACCCGGCCGGCCACCGCCTCGGCCCTCGCCACCGACTCGAGTAGAGGCAGGTCGCTGCGACGCGCGAAGCGAAGTGCGGGTCGACTCGCCCTCCCGTCCGTCCCTTCGCCTACGTCAGGCCATCGGGCACCATCGGGGCGAGGCGAGACGAGCCCGGCGAGGGCGTGTGAGTTTATTTGTGTCGTGCTTTTCTGCTTGTCGCGTGCGTGGCGGCGACGCGGCAGCACGCGTTGCGTTGCGTCGCGAGTGCATTGGAACAGCATTGGATTAAACCAGACACCAGCACGCGGGACGGGACATCTTGCTGTCGGCCTGTCGGCGCGGACACTACATGGGTAAGGCCGTGTCCGTGCGGGTGGTACCGGCGTGCCGGGTTCGATCCCCGCTCGGACCAAATAGGGTCGCCGTCAGCGTCAGCGCGCGGCGTGTCCTACCGCGCCGGCCCGCGGGGTGTCATCGCGGCCCCGCGGTCGGCGTCGTCGGGCGTGTCTGGAGGGCCTCCGTCACGGGGCGGTTGCCGCTGCAGTCGGTTGCAAATACAGGAGTTGCAGTGCCACTGTCTGTCGACCGCACGAACGCCCATCCTTCGCCACCAAGGCCCGCCGGCCCACCTGTCAGGCTGTCAAGGTCTCCTGTCAAGGGCTCGCCGTCAAGGGCTTGCTGTCAAGGCTGTCAGGGGCTGGCGTCGCGTCGCGTCGACAGAGAGACAGGAGGCAATCGACGCGAACACAGCGCCTCGCCTCTTATCAATGAAGCGGACTCGGCACGAATTAGCATGATAATGGTGTGAAGCCGATTGAAAGGCGGCTAGGCCGGCCAGTGGTCAGTGCTTCGCGGCCACGCCGGCCCGGCACTGTGAACGCTGAGCTCTACGCAGCCCGCGATGTGGGCAGCCCTGCTCGCTGAGTCGTTTCGTTTCTCTGTCCCTGTCGCCCTCGAGCGGCAGGGGCTGAGAGAGACAGAGCGTCGGGGGCGCAGGGCGCAGGCAACCCGCCCGCCGTGGCGGGACGGAAACTTGTTGGCTGCTCCAGCTCCACCCAAAAACCACCACCGGCGCGGCGACGCCGACTCGACCTGCGTCGCGTCCCACCGCGGGCGTTGCCTGCTCCGCCTTGCCGCAGGTCGGAGTTGTCTAGGGGATCACCGCCTTTTTCCTGTGCCGTGTTGACACGCCTGTTGACAGGAGCAGGGACGCTTGAAGGCTGTCGCCGCGTGGCGCGAGTCGCCGAGGCCAAGGCCGAGGCGCCCAGGGGATGCTGGTGGTGGTCGGTCGCTCCAAGACGGCCCCTTCCCCGGCCTTCCCCGGCCTTCGCCCCCCGGCCCGGCCGGAGACAGACCAGGCACCAGGCCCGGGGCGCATTCCATCTGGATCGAGTGAAATGGAAAGTCCCGCGGCCAGAGGCGCGGCGTAGGGCGGCAGTCTAGGTCACAACGCGAGGGTTGGCCCGTTGGCCGCCCCTCCCCGCCCCAGTCCCAGCGGCGGTGCGTTGCGCTTGCCGAAATCGCGCGTCTGGATGCCAATACTAACATCTCTTGCCCTCGTACCCGTACGGCCGTACCCACACCGCGCGCTCGGATCGGACCCCACAGCAGGGCAGGTTCAGGTAACTCGGCTGCCCAGGAACGGGGGCGTTTCCCAATCAGCTGGCTTCACCTCTACGTGAGCGGGGCGGCGGGCTGGTGCAATGCTTGTGCTTTGCTGCTTTATCAGGGCCTCGCCCCGCACTGTACCGGCACCGCGTTTGGAGCGAGGCGCCCTGGCTTAAACCTTTCTTTACACAAACACGCTTATTCGGAAGCAGGCACGCGGTCGAATGACAGAGACTCCCCGTGGAATGGGTTATCGGAGCCGAAACAGGCAGTTAACGGTGCGGCGTGGGCGGGTGTGGAGTGGACATCGGCAGGGGACTCGGACCGGCTGGCCTTAGGCTGGCCCCCCTCGGCAGTGTCCTGCAAGGCGGCAGTGTGCTGGCGGCACTCCAGCTGCTGGGCCCGGCCAGGGGCCCGGCCAGGCTTGGCTCGCTTGGCGCGCGCGGCGCTTTAACGCCGTGCTAAGCGGCGCCGCATACCGCAGACCGAAGCGGGTGCAAACAACGAGAACGCGGCGGGGGGTGTGGCACGGCACGGCGCGGCGTGGCGCGGCGTGGCGGGGGGCAGGCCCAGGCAGCAGTGCTCCACTCCGGCGCGCCAGACCAGACAGTGGACTCGCGAGATCACTCTGTCCCAGACTCTTTATTGCTCCTTCCAGCACCGCATTACGCCGCTCGGCGCATTAAGATAGCCTGGGGCCTTAATGTAAAGGCACCGTTTTGCTGGAGTCGTTCGCCGGGCGTGGTCTGACTCCCGCCGCTGTCAGTCGTAAGCCAGTTCTTGTCGGCGTCGGGGAGCAGGGCGCAGGGCGCCGACGTGTCTGCGGCCATCGCCGTCACGGTCCGTCCCTGGTCCGCCCCGCCGCAGCGACGATCGTGTTTTAAAGGGAAGGCAGTATGGAAAACGTGCATTCTCAATGAGGATGGCGCGGGCAGGGCCAAGGCAGGGCCAAGGCAGGGCCATTCCACGGCGGGGCTGTCGTTGTCGTTTCCAGGACGCCGTCGTTGTCCTGCTCGCCCAGCCGGCCCGTCCCGGCCCGTCGCTGCCGTCACGTCCACGGTGGCCGCCGTGCCGTGGCGTGCCGTTAGCGCCCTGGCATATCGGCTCACGACGGCAATGCCCCCCGGCCCGCGCCCCGCGCCCAGCGACTCGACATTTTCCTCGCCTTCACCATGCGGCCTGGGTAAACGGGTAGACGCCGCGGACCGCAATCAGCACCTCAGCGCCGCGCGCCGCGTGCCGTCGCCGCGGTGATGCATGCCGTCGTCCAGGCGACGGCGGCGCGGTGTCAAGTAGCTGGAGTAAAAAGGCTCCGCGCGGCGCTGCGGGCTCCGTGCTGCGGGGCTGCGGCTCGCCGGCCTTGTCGCCATCAGTATGTAGGTCAGCCTGCTGTTCTTTTCGGTGGAGTTCCCGGCGCGCAGCTCGGAGCGATCCACTCACTGTACTGCCTCGGCGTACGTACTCGCTCGCGGCGTGGCGCGACGTGGCGTGGCACGGTGCGGCGGGTCGCGGCTCCGGCACCCCAGGGTCACCGCGCCGTGCCGCACGAAGCTCCAGTTATAGCTCACACCTCGCCCAGCCTCGCCGCAGCAGCTGAGCGCCGCCAAGCCTGCGAAGCGGCAGTGCCCTCTCCCCCCCCCCCCTCTGTCTCTCTCACTCGGCGGTGGCACGCCGTCCCGGACGACAGGCGCGTTCGGCGGGCTGGCCTACCCCGTGTTGCGCGGGCGCTCCAGCGGACGCTCCTGATGGAGCTCCCCGAGGGTCGGGGGCGCTTGGCGTGGCGCTTGGCGTGGCGCTTGGCGTGGCGCTTGGCGACACCCGAAAAAGCACTGGTAACCGTCAATACTTGGACAGGTGGGCGTCGCACCTGTGCTTGACGTTGGTGGCCGCCGGGCCTACTCGGCCTGCCTCGGGCTGCCTCGGCCTGCCCCGGGCCGTGGGCCTTGCCGCGGGCCGCGTGGGCGGACGGGCCGTGCTCGAAATCGGCGATAACTTCGTACTTTGAACACGTGTGGAGCGTTGTCCCGATCGTCAAGGTCGCGTCGTCGCGTCGCCGCTTCCGAATAATGGAGCGATGCGACCGCCACCCGCCACGTGGGCGCGACCAGCGCGACGTGGATTTCCCTTTCCAGTGCGGGGAATTCCCTCGGGCCTCGCGGTGCGTCGATGCAGGCCCGCCGAAAGTGTCGCACGTGCTGTGATGTCATTCTCGGGGACGAGTAGCTCGGGGTCGCAGCGTCGCGGCCACATCCGGCCGGCCCAAGCGCGGAGCTAGCGTGGACCGGGCCGAGCACTGACAGTGGCGTGCGCAGCATGGCTTGACCCCCCCGCTTGCAGTGCACCACACTGAGAGGCCTAGCAGCGCGCAGCACTGCGCAGCACTGCGCAGCACCCGGCAGCGGAATTGCCCTCGCGACGCGGTTCCGGCTCGGCCGATGCCAATAGAACCCGGAGCTGGCTGAGTGAGGCGAGGCAACAGGGTACCCCTACTCACACCGCCAGGCCGCCAGGGCACCGCCTGGAGTCGCGGGGCCGGCCGGCCAGCCGGACCGTGAGCCGGACGGGCGGACAGGCAGCGGGCGGACGGGCGGGCGCAGGCAGGCAGGCAGACGGCGCGGCCTGGCCTTTCACTTTCTCACAGAGGCACCTGACGAGACCAGACGACCCGGAGGTGGAAAAGGCTCTGTCCACCCGACTGAACCAATGCATTAGTTTTAGGGAAATATTGCGTCGATTTTACGTCATCTTCAGGTCCGCTTAAGTCACTCTTGATAAGCAAAGAGGATATCGAGGGAGCCACAGACACCTAAGAAGACCTGTGCGGCGTAGCTGAGCGCGAGTAAAGTGCAGTGGCTGTGAGGCTTCACCGCTCGGGCCGCAACTCGAAGGCGATGCACGGGACGCGATCGACTCTCGCCCCGGCCGCGTTTCTGCTGAACCATGATCCGGCGGCCTCGGCGGCACGGGCATGGCGCGGGCATGGCACGGGCTCTGGGGCAGTCACCTTGTTGTGCTGACTGCTGCCTGGCCTGCCTGCAGGGCATGCCCAGCCGCACAGGCGGAGAACGCTTCGTTGGCCCGGACCGGCCCGGCCACCGTGAGCGCGCAGAGCTAGAGCCGGCAGAGCTTCCCGCACCTGCAGTTTTCTCCCCGTGCCCAATTCCAGGCCGGCCCGGCCCGGGGCAAGGCGGCTGCCCGCCGTTCCGGCGCGCCTCCCTCCACGTCCACGACGTCCACGACGGCCACGGGGTTCGCGTCCAGGTCGGCCGAATACGCCCGCCGGGCTGGCCGCCGGCCGCGGCCGCGAGCCCACCGCCCCGCCCCGCGCGGCAGCACGGCGGCAAGGTCGCTTGGCCCTTTTGCGGGAAGCTGGCCTAGGCCGGCCTGCTCGTCGGCGCGGTGCACTGCTCGGTGGCGGCGTGCTCGGCGTGCGGCGCCCACCAGACCGGTGCGCGGCGCGGTGCGGCGTGCGGTTGGCAGACAAAAGAAACTGTCTAGTGCCCTGCTCCGGCTGCTCGCGGAAAAGGAAAGTCCCCCCCCCCTCCCTGCGAGTCCTTGGTCCGGCCGTGCGCCACCGCGGCAGTGCGGCAGTTCCGCGACGCGGCCAGCGTAATAGGGCACGTGGTGCTTAAGCTGCTGGGCGAGCGGTAGTGCCCGCCACGCTGGCGGCACGTCGACCACCTTCCTCGTCGGCCACCGTGTTCGACTGCTTGGTGCTCGCCGCGCGCGCCACCCGCGCGGTCCA